GGCTATAAAACATACTTTTGACAAATTTAAAAGAACAGAAATCACACAATATCTATTCTCACACTATAAGGGAATTAAACTAGAAATCAATAACAGAGTGATGGTTGGAGATTAAAAAATGCATTTCTAAATAATGTACAAGCCAAAGAAGAAATCTCAAGGGAAATGCTGAAATGTTTTCAACTAAATGAAAATAAAAACACAACCTACACAAAATTTGTGAGAATCAGGAAAAAGCTGTGCTTAGTGGAAAATTTGTAGGATCAAATGTCTATTTTAGAGAAGAAAAGAGATTTGGAAAAACAATAGCTTTCCAACTTAATAAACTAAGAAGAGAAAATTTAATCCAAAATAAGTAGGAGAAACAAAATAAAAAGAATTAGAGCAGAAAACAAGAAATAAATACAAGAAATCCATTAAATCAAAAGTCAATTTTTCAGGAAAATAAAATGATTGATAAACCTCTAACCAGGCTAAGAAAAAGAGAGGACCCAAATTACTAATATCAGAAATAAATGAGGGAGGGAACATTATTATAGATCCTTTTAATGCTAAAAGGATAACCAAGGAATATTATGAAGGACTATGCCCACAAATTTAATAACCTAGATGAAATGGACCAATTCCTTTAAAGACACAATCTGTTGAAACACACAGGAATAAACAGACAATTTGAATAGGATTATATCTCTTAAAGAGGTTGAATCAATAATAACTGAAAACAGAAGCACCAGACCCAGTTAGTTTCAATAGTGAATTCTACCAAACATTTAAGAAAGAAGATAAAAAAATAAAATAAAATACAAAAATAAAAGAAAAAGAAGTTAAACCATTCCCCACTATTTATTTCAAAAGATAGAAATGGAGAATTCTTTCATGTATATTATAGAATGAGTTTATTGTATGAAGTCAGCATTACCCTCACACTAAAACCAGACAAAAGAAAACTTCAGATAAATATCTCTCTTGAATATTAATGGAAAATCCTCAAAAAAGTGTTAGAAAATTAACTCTAATGATATATAAAACAAACATATGACACGAATAGGATTTATCCCATTTATTCAAATCTGATATTTGAAAATCCCCTCTTGCTCCTTCTTTTCAACCCAGCATGCAATAAAACAAGAAAACAAAATAAAAACCAAACTGATTAGAGAGGAAAAGATAATTCTGACAAGATCACCTATGCAGAAAATCTGAAAGATTTGGTTAAAAAAAAAGTTTCAAGAATTAGTATGTGATTTTATGAAGTTTGCAGGACATTATATGAAAATATAAGTTTTGTTTTCCTCTGCAGCAAACAAGTTAAATTTGAAATTAAAAGCATTACTATTTACATTAACATACCCCAAAATGAAATACTTGGGTAAAAATCTAACAAAATATATATAAGAGATACATGAAGAAAACTATTAAACTTTGATAAAAGTAATCAAAGGAGGATTAAAGAAATGTTAGAGATATTCTTTGTTCATGTCCTGCAAGACTCAATGTTGTCAAGATGGCACATCTTCCAATTTGGTCCATAGATTCAATGCAATCCCATTAAAATTCCATCCATTTATTTTGTGGATAGATAAACTGAATCTAAAGCTTATTTGGTATGGTAAAAGACCTGGACTAGCAACAATAATGAAGGGGAAGAACATAGTTGAAAGACTGACACTACTCAACTTCAAGTCTTTCTATAAAGCTAAAGTAATCAAGACACTGTGGTATTGGTGCAAGAATAGGCAAATAAATCAGGAACAGAGAACCCAGATAATAGACACACATAAATATGATCAAGTGATTTTTGACAAGAGGCAGAAGCAATGCAGTGGAGAACTGATGGTCTTTTAAACAAACTGCTTGAACAACTGGATTTCCACAAGCAAAAAGATGACTGTGGACATAAACTTTATACCCTTCATGAAAATTAACTCAGAATAGATCATAGGCCTTAAGGTAAAATATTTAGAGCTAAAAAGAAATGAGCTATGAAGTTATGAAAAGACATGAAGAAAAGCTATATACATAGAAATGAAAGAAGTCAATCTGGAAAGCTGCATAGTGTATGATTACAACTGTATGTTTTTACTGGAAAAGTAAAAACTATAGCAACAGTAATAACATCAGTGCTGGCTAGGGGTGAGGGAGGAAGAGATAGACAGTACAGAGGATTTTTAGGACAATAAAACTACTATCTACCCATGGTATCTCTAATGGGGGAGGCTGTGCATGTGTGGGGACATATACTGGGAAATCTTTGTACTTTCCTTGCAATCATACAGTGAACCTAAAACTGCACTCAATAATAAAGTCTATTTTAAAAAGTACATGTGATATCTGTTTGAAGTTGAATAACACGTGCCACACACACACACACACACACACACACACACACCTACACTTAAACAGTCTTAAATGTAACATGAATTTTTATTACTAGGACTCATTAAAATAAGATTAATATAATGATGTATTATTTTCTTTGGAAAAAAAAAGCATCAACTTTGTTTTGCTACTTTCCTGGTACATAATTAAGGGTACTTTATCTCCATCTGCTGGAAATTTTAAGCAATTACCAGTTCCTTTGCTCCTTTTGAGCTTGAGGCATTTCATATCTTCAAAATGTATGGGATTAAAAAAGCAGAAGAGCAGGTGCGGTGGTGCATGCCTATAATCCCAGTGTCTCAGGAGACTGAGACAGGAGGATTTGAGTTCAAAGCCAGCCTTAGCTATGGTGTGGTGCTTAGCAACTCAGTGAGACCCTATCTCTAAATAAAATACAAAATAGGGCTGGGGATGTGGTTCAGTGGTTGAGCGTCCCTGAATTCAATCCCTGTTACAAAGAAAATGAACAGGAATTACTTGTTTTCTGGTCCTGAATGACATTTAAAACACTTCAGTATGTACCACCATGTTTTAAAACAAAAATTTTTAAATGACAAAAATAGCCATCACCTTTGAAACATTATTACTCTGGTGGCTAACATGAATATCCCATTCCCCGATTAGACCAGAAATCAGCACAAATGAATAAGTACTATTGTATAAATATTAATTGAATTGGATAATGGATCATTTTGTAACTTTTATAAAGTTATCTTTCTTTGAATCCCCATGCCTTCCAATTGTTCTCAAAGTTAAGTTCACAGATTTCTTACATATCCCCTATTCCTGGAAATTTTTGAGATAGTTTTAACTTTACACACTCTTTTCTGCATTTTGGGAGTTGTATTTGAAATCCCCAGATCAGGCTAGCATTAGTTCCTCTGGTTTTTAATAGCTTATGATGAAGATAATAATAACTACCATTTATTAAAAATCCCCACAATGTTTAGAGATAAAGCAATATATAAGTATCTATGGAGTAGATAATCACCCATTTACAGAATAGCTAGAGTAACCTTCCCAAGGTCAAAAAGTTAGGAAGTGAAGGAGCAGTCTTGATCAAGTTATTGGCACTTAAACACTCCCCTCACCCCCCTCATTTTCTTATTGAATGTAAAGGATGCATTTTATATTTTGATAACACAAATTCATAGATATTGACAGCATTTATTAAGTACCCAATATATGCCAAGCACCATCCTGGGGACAAAGATAAATTACATACAATTTTAGTCCAAGAAACATCACATTCTAGTGGTCAAGAAATAAAACACCAAAAGGAAAAGCAAAACAAAGCAAATGTGGCTAGTTCTATGGTGGAAGAATATAAGGGGTGTGGTGGGAACAGAAGAGAGAGACTCTCAACTGAATGAGGGTACAGACAGGGCTTCCCAGGAGAGATGAGAGATGATGTAGGAACTGAGCCCAAAGTAAGGGTTCCTAGTTGGGGAAGTTCCTTCCAAACTGAGGAGACAGCCAATATGAAGGACTCTCTGGGTGGAAGTTCATCACTGATCCATACTATTTATAATGTGATTGGGTTGAAGAATGACTTTGCATAATCAGATATAGGGTAGAACAGAGGCCAGGAGCCAGATTACAAAGTGCCATGGATCATTAGTCAAACAGTTAGCTAACTCTTTATATAAAATCTTATTTGGAGTTATTTGCATTTGTGTTGTCTTTATCACACTGTATTTTTAGGTGGCATTTTATGTCTTAATCAAAATTTACATATTAATCAAAGTGGCTGGATTAGAAGCTGCATTCAGCTGCAAGTTATGGAAACATGATTTTTTTTTTTTTTTGGTGGTGCTGGGGATTGAACCCAGGGCTTTGTGCATGTGAGGCAAGCACTCTACCAACTGAATTATATTCCCAGCTGGAAACATGATATTTTTAGGCTTCTACTGAGTTTGCAATGGAGTTGTGCCACACTGCACTGGTCAAGAGCATATCATTCCCATTCCCACTGTAGTCTCCATGAATGGTGCTTCCCAGAGTTATTCAGGGTATAGCATGTTTGGTTGTATGTGGTGTTCAGGCAGCAATGCTATCAAGCACCTGGACTTCTGTCTTTCCACAGATTTCTTTAGCATGAATTTTAGTCAGTTCTTACAAAATAGCTGTTGCTCCTCTAGGTATCATATCTGCATCCTGGTCAGGGAGAAGGTGAAGGGCAGGGGCATGTAACAGCATGCCTACTCTTTATTGTGACGGAGATAACTGCTGCTCTGGATGACCGATAGAGCAGACGCCCATCTTCCATCTGAAGGGTTAGAGTGTGCCAGATCTTGCCCAGGCTGCTACTGAGATTCAGAAACTGAGTTTTCCCTCTGGGCATGCCACCTTAAACAACTTTATATGGGTGAGTTTCAAGAAAAGGAGGATGATATTGGGTAGAATCTAGCAGTGTCTGCCATACACAGTATTGAGATGGAGCCTTTTTTGTTTCTTCAAAGAGAACATTATTTCCAAAGCATTTTCATGCTTATCCTTCCTAACAAAAGTTATGTATATTCTACAAATTTATTTCTAACCTTTGATATTACCCTTAATGCTAAATAAGACTGCTGTTTCTCTTCTACGTATATCTCATCTTTGTTTTCTTTTTATTTTAGATAAAGCATTTCTGTCTATAGCTTCAGATATTTCAGGACCAACTATACTTAATGCCACTAACACCAGTCTCACAATCAGATTACCTCCAGCCAAGACAAATCTTACTTGGTATGGCATCACCAGTCCTACACCAACATACCTGGTTTACTATACAGAAGTTAATGGCAGGAAAAACAGCTCTGACCTGGTGTATAAAATGCTGGTAAGATTAGAGCTAATGGCTTCGGGCTTTGCACAAGATGCCTTTTTAAAATTTAAAACTATTAGCTATAGTGAAGCATTTCCCATATACAACTTCTTACTGTCGATGATTCATCAAAACAATGTATTGTCTGGGAATAAGTTAGGTTACTTGGAAATGTGTTAATTCTGGCCAGTTGATGGATTGTCATAGTAATAGTTTCCTGAGTGTCCTGAAAAATGGGGTTTGCTCCCTCCCTGATTATTCACCCCCAAAGAGTGACAGAGACTTGATTTTGTGGTCTACACAGTAGATTGAAGATTGAGGAGTAACAAATGAATTGGACAGAAAGAATATTGCCATATATGCTTCTTTTCCATAGCATTTATCTAATATAAACTTGTACTTAATATTTATGTCTATATATCCTACATATTATGAAATGCAGTGATCTGAGGAATTATGTCTGTTTTTAAATTGCCATTGTATCCTTAGCAGTTGCATAAGAGTTGGCACTGTGCAGGCATTTGGTAAATATTTCTTGAATGAATGAATTGATAGGCAATATTTATTCCATAATTGGCATTAGTGTTTCAATAGTTCTAGTGATGACATTATACATACCCAATATGTATAATTGCTTCGTGCTTGGCTTGGTTTAACCAGTTCAAGAGGTCAAAGTGATCCTCTTCTATTGGATATTCAAAACTGTCTGCTCTGCCATTCATACACGATTCTTTGTTACTTTTTTTGTTTTGTGTTCTAATCTTTTTTTTTTTTTTTACACATTTTAAAAAGTTGTTTCAGAAAGAGATTGAATTATTTGGCTGATCAAAATTGGGCTTTGAACAGATTTCCGTTATTGGAGTTAGTCTTATTGTCTTCACTTTGACTAAGATGGGTTCTCAATCTTGGCTTTACCTCACACAATTCTATCAGGATATCTGTGGGTGAAACACAGATGTAGTATTTTCTTAAAATTTTTTAGATGATTCCAAAGCATAATCAAAATTGAGAATCATTAAGGGATGTCTTTTTACCCTCTTAAAATTTATTTTTAAGAATGATTAGATTACTGTATTCACTTTTATTCCTCCTGCTGAATTTCTAATGTCATACTTATGAAATAGTTTCCTATGTGAAATGAGTTGTTTCACAAAATGACAATCACTGGCATTTATTTGTGGAGATATTAACTCAGGTCTTTGTAGATTGGGATGTGGCATTATCATGAACAATCCAGAATTAAAAATAAATCAGCTTTTTTATCTTTGTGTAAATAATTTCTGCTTGTTTATATAAAATATAAGAATCAGATATTGATTTTTGAATTAATTTCAGGAGTCTCAGGAGAATATAGCTGTTATTGAAAATTTACAACCATTTTCAACATATACGATACATACAGCTGTAAGGAATTATTATTTGGATCCTTTGGAACATTTACCTCTGGGGAAAAAAATTTCAGGAAAAACTAAAAGTGGAGGTGAGTGTGGGTTTCTATAGGTGAGTAGTGAACTTGGTGTGGGTTTCTAGAGTGAAATTTTATGATGTGTATGTTTATGTTTTTCTTGATCTAAATGCTAACCAATAATTATTATGTGAGCCTTTTTAAGTTTAATAAGGAAAATGAATTTGTAGAAAATGTTTTGATAACTTGGACCTTATTTTAACCACTGAAGAAGATGATAACCCATCAAAATGGAAAGCAGTCAGGAGGTGAAACATCAAAATCAATAGTGCTCCACAAAGAAACTCATTCTTTGGTCTCACCACACAGTGTCGCTCTCTTTCCATGTATTCATAGCTCTCTGTACACATGAGACAGGAAAACCAAGACTTCTTTTCAATGTGTATTGCACTGAGCCCACTGAGATTTAAAGTCACATAACATCTCTACCTTAAAGACAAAAAGTCTATAATCCAAAAAAGTGTTCTAAGAGGTGATGATCATTTTTTTTCAGATATTCTGATGATTTTCACAAAAGTCATCCAAATTGGGTAATTCATGAAGGGTCCTATCCTTGAGCTGGAGTCAGGTAAAGTTGTAGTCATTGGGAGAAAGAGGCAAGAGGCTTTTAGGCAGCCTGCTAGCTTACCATTATGTAATAGACTGACTTTCCTTCTGGACACTGTTAGTCATTCTGCTCTTATGACACGATCCTCAACCAAGACTTCCTCTCTTCTTTGCACCTTTCCATGCTGTTGCAACATCCCTTATCCTTCATTGCTATTTATTTCAGTGCCAGAGGCAGTTTGGCTCATTAACACAACCGTGCTGTCAGACACCAGCCTCCTTGTATCTTGGAGAGAATCTCACAAGCCAAATGGACCTGAAGAGTCAGTCCGCTATCAACTGGAAATCTCACATCTGGCCCTAATTCCTGAGACTCCTCTAAGACAAAGTGAATTTCCAAGTGCCAGGCTTTGTCTCCTAGTCACTACACTGTCTGGTGGACAACAATATGTGTTAAAGGTACAGAGTGTATGGGGCACTTTTTATTGCCATTTTACAGCACAAAATTTTGAAAAGCAGCTGTTTTTCTTTTCTTTTCTTTTTAATAAAGGTTCTGGCCTGCCATTCCAAGGAAATGTGGTGTGCTGAAAGTCATCCTGTCACTGTCAAAATGTTTGACACACCAGAGAAACCGTATGCCTTGGTCCCAGAAAACACCAGTTTGCAGTTAGATTGGAAGGCTCCACCTGATGTTAGCCTCATTAGATTTTGGTTTGAACTCCAGAAGGTAGACTTTTAATTTAAATCTTGGAGAGAACTATTAATCATTAAGTCACCCATCCCATTCAAATCTGGGAAAAAGAACAGCAGACAAGGACCTCTTGGGTCCAGTCCTCATGACTTTCAGGCAATGATTTTTTTTAAAAAAATTGAATTGGTACATTATAATTACATATAATAGTGAGATTCATTATGTCATATTCATATGTACACATAATTTGCTCAATCTCTTTCCCCAGTATATTCCCTTTCCCTCCCTACCTCTCCCTGATCTACTTGCTCTAGTCTACTGACCTCCCTTTTATTGTTATTATTATTATTATTATCTTAATTAGTGCATTATGATTATCTGTATATGTGGAACTCAACATGGCAATCTATACATGGACATAACCTATTGGTAGATTTTGCTTTCCAGTCCTTCCCATGTCCTCCTCTCCTCCCATCTGCTTGATTTTCTTCCTCAATATTATTGGTTTTCCTTCCATTTTCATGAGATCCTCCCCTCCATTTTTTAAAAATATTTTTTTCTCTGTCTCTAACTTTTGCATTGGAAAGAAATATTTCAATTTTTTTTAGACATCAGAAATTTATTAGTTGCTCAAAACATTACATTGATCTTGACATATCATATATCATACATTTGTTTCAAATGGGGTATTTTAAATTTTTAATTTATGAGTTAGTCTTATTTTACTTAGCATGATGTTTTCCAGTTCCATCCATTTACTAGCAAATGACAATTTCCTTCTTTCTTATAGCTGAGTAAAACTCCTTTGTGTATATATACCACATTTTATTTATCCATTTGTCTGTTTACAGCCACCTAGACTGGTTTCATAACTTGGGGATTATGCATTGTGCTGCTATAAATATTGGTATGCACATCTTACTATAGTATGCTGATTTTAGTTCTTTTGGATAAATACCAATGAATGGGATAGCTGGGTCATATGGTAGTTCCATTTCTCCTCTTTTGAGAAATCTCCATACCATTTTCCAAAGTGGTTGTACAATTTAAAGTCCCACAATGTATAAGTTTACCTTTTTGCCCCTGTTCTTTTTTTTTGGGGGGGGTGAGTATTGGGGATTGAACTCAGGGGCACTTGGCCATGTTTTTGCCCATGTTCTTGACACCAACTATTGTTTTTTGTTTTCTTGATGATTGCCATTCTAATTGGGGGAAAAAATCTCAATGTTGTTTTGATTCACATTTCTCTGATCACCAAGAATATTGAACATTTTTTCATATATTTGTTGATCATTAGTATTTTTTTGAGAAATGTCTGCTTAGTTCATCTGCCCATTTTTTTTGATTGAGTTATTTTTTTTGTATTAAGTTTTTATAGTTCTTTATATACTCTGGATATTAATCTCCTGTCAGAAGAGTAGCTGGCAAAGATTTTCTCCTAATTCTCTAGGTTAAATTGTATTCTTTGCTGTGCAGAAGCTTTTTAATTTGTAACCATTCCACTTATTGATTCTTGGTTTTATTTCCCCATAAAATACCAATGAAATTCTTCACAGAACTAGAAAAAAAGTCATTAAGTTCATATGGAAGAATAAAAGATTCACAAGAGACAAGACAATACTGAGAAATAATAGTGATATTGGTGACATTATATAATACCTGATCTCAAATTATACTACAGAGCTACCGTAACAATAACAGCATTGTATTGACATGGAAACAGGCATGAAGACCAGTGGAATGGAAGACACACAGACTAGTCTACATAGATACAGTCATCTGATCCTTGACAAAGTTGCCAGAAACATGTTGGAGAAAATATAGCTTTTTAAACAAATATTATAGTATTTTAAACAAATACTATAAAATAAATATAAAAATATGTTTATTCTTTATTTTTTAATTTTTATATTTATAAAAATAAAGATACAAAAGTATTTAAACAAATTCTATAGTGTTGGGAAAACTGGATATTCATATGTACAAAAATAAATCTAGATTCCTGTTTCTTACCTTGCACAAAACTCAAAGTACATTAAAGACCTAGAACCCTAAAACTGCTAGAAGAAAACAAAGGGTCAAAACTTCAATATGTTGTTGAGGGCACTGACTTCCTTAAAAAGACTCCTAAAGCTCAAGAAATAAAACCAAGAATCAAGAAATGCTTTTCTTTTTATATTTCCTATTTTCACACTTTCTCAACAGATTTCTTGTAGACCATTTAGAAAGTCATGAAGCTGAAAATGCAGGATACTGTCACTTTTACATGTATGACCATCTCTAGTGAAGCATTAATGGATGAGTACAGTGGTTCTGAGAGGGCTGATGAGTGACCTCTAGTCAGAAAGCTTTTTTTTGAGCAACTTGAACCTTCCTCATAATGACAGGACAGCTGGGAATGATTTCAGAATTCTGAAACTCTGAGGGGTGAGTGGTGAGAGAGATGGATGTCTTCATAATTAATAAGTTTGCTTTACAAAAGAAAGAGGAAGAATACGATAAACTTTGTCTTTGTCTTTTCTGCCACAATTTTGTTGTCTGAAAAATGGAGCAATTTAGAACACAAGTTAAGTTTGTATTAGATCTTGAATTACATAGATTTTAATTTTTAAAAAATCCAATAACAATATAATAAAAAATCACAAGTGTGCCAAAGAGGAAAGGATGTCTTCAATTTAAGATTAGGAAGGAACAAGTCCTTTTAATTTGATAATTTTTTTTCATAGAAATCCATTAAAAATGTTTTTCTCATCAGTACAGACAAATGTCTATGAGAATCAAAAAATTCTGAAGTGCCAGTCTCTGAGATATTATATCCTACAACCTCCCAAACACTGCCTAAATAACTTGAAAATCTCTTTGGGGTAGCCTTCATTCTTGCACTTGTTGGTTTCTTGACAAGTGGAAGGTTCTGACTCCCTTGTGACTTTCTGGCAGAGTCGACAGCACTTCTCAGAGTTGATGGCCTGCCCATAGCATTTAGTGCTGTAGGGATGCCAACACACTGCCATTTTCCAGAAAATGCTCTCAAGCAAGCACCTCCCCTATGTTGCAGGAGTTCTGAGAATTTCTGGATGGTGTGTAACGTTGGATCATCTAGTGTAGTTATTTCTACACCAAATCATTAAGGAGGCAAGGCCAAAATACTCTAATATTTTTTATCTAGGAATTTCTCTCTTAATCTCTCTTTTTCTTACATGCATGCACACACACACATACACATTCAGTTCAGAGTAAATGTTGCATATTCAGTGCATCTATTTCATTAGGCATTCATACATTTATGAATTTAGTGCAGGCAATGTCCCTAACATCAGCATTTCTCAATTTGCATTCTGTTTCCTTTCCCCACATTTCTTTTTGTAACATGATGGCCTACTTCCCAAGGTGCAATAGAGAATGTTCCTAATTTAATTGAAAACTAATATGAAATGTGCATCTGATGAAATGATGTGACCTTCTGAGTACTAAATGAAAAAGGAGATGCAAAGTAAAGTTTATTTATGGAAACTGACCTTCTTAGGAAACTCTACTAGGAAAAATACACCAAGAACCCTTGACAATATGCCACATCCTTGGTGTCCTATTTGTACAACTGAAATAAATCACTCATTTTCAAATAATGACTTTAAGAATCCAAATACACAGCTTTTAAGGAAAGAAATATCATAGAGAAATAAGCTTCAGATAGCTTTAATTAGAGAACCAGTATCTAAAGCAGTATTAAAGCAACATTTCCTATATTTAACTTTTAACCTTGCTACTTAGTAGCTGCCTGATGGTGGGAAAAACTTTCCTTTTTGTAAAGATTTACCCTTCCTATGTATAAATATAAAGGATGCTGGTCACATGTTTGAAGAGGGTGGTAGGAGGGAAAACCCTAAATGTTTTAATTTGTTAGTCACTATGGACTTCTTCAAAGAATTGAAATAAGTGGAATTTATTATTTGAAATGAACTAATCCCTAGAATTGAAGTTATCTTTGTTCATTCATTGCTCCTCAGCTGTGATTTTGTATTTTCAGCCATCTGATTTAATTTAGGTGTCCACTTTTAGGGATAATGGGAGAATCTCAGCTCAGAATGTTCCCCATGATATATAGTTAGGTTTACATGTCTCACTTTTTGACTTTATCTAAGAATCGTCATTCAGGTCATTTAGAGCTTGTCATGAGGAAAAAAATGGCTATAGATGGTGAGAATAATGTTTGGAATCAAACATTCATAAAGAAGCTATGATTCTTTAGTAGAAAGTAAACTTTGAGTTCTAATCACTTGCCACAGGACTATACATTTCTATGTTTAAGAAGATTTTCTTAAAGAAACAAAAATGTTAGTTGAGACTTCTTTTTCAGTGGAGATGCAATGAGTTTTACCATGTCGAAGCTTCATGCAGCAAAGGTCCTGCTTATGTCTGTAACATCACAGATCTGCAACCTCATACTTCCTATGATGTCCGAGTAGTGGTGGTTTATACGACAGGAGAAAACAGCACCTCACTTCCAGAGAACTTCAAGACAAAAGGTGAGTATTAACTGGCTTGGCACTCAGAAAGTCTACCAGGAGCTGGGAATGGTGGTGCACATCTGTAATCTGGATCGCAAGTTCAAACCCAGCCTCAGCAACTTAGCGAGGCCATAAGCAACTCAGTGAGACCCTGTTTCTAATAAAAATATTAAGAAGGGCTGGGGATGTGGCTCAGTGATTTAGCGACCCTAGGTTCAATCCCTGGTACAAAAAAAAAAAAAAAGCCTACAAGGTCTCAAATCTTTTTCATTTCTTATTCACCAATCTTAGAGGTTGAAATCTTTGCTTTACAAAGAGTATATTACTATTGCTGGAACCTAAGTGAAGAAATTGGAAAGTCAGGAGTCTTTAAAGGCAGTAACAAGATAACACTGCCCTGGTCTTGTAAGATCCTGAGTAGAGCACAATTATTTCTTCTTTTAGCATTCTGATTTCCTGTCCAACTATGATATCTTTCAGGGAGAACTAAATCAAGAAAAAAGGGTAACTAAGTGTTCAACAAATACTTATTAAACAAATTTTATATTCCAGATGTTAAATAAATGGAAAAAAATCTAAAGTCTATTAAACTAATTAGTATTTAAAAAGATATACCATAAATCCCAATCGATCACTATGAGAGTAGAGGGAAAATGCTCCAAAACTTATGATTTTTTTAAAGTTTGCATTTATCACTTATTTTGTGTCAAGCTAGGTTACACTGTTAATATTATAACTAATACATATAATCCATCACTAATAAAACTTCTGATACTCATTTTAAAAAAATCTACTTATATCAGAAAACTTCTGAATATTTCCTAAATGTATTTATTTTTCCTCAGAATATTTTATAGAAAGATATCAATGCAGACTAGTTTATTCTTCTAACATATTAATCAACATGTTCTTTTTCCCCAAAAGCTGGAGTCCCAAGTAAACCAGGCATTCCCAAATTATTAGAGGGAAGTAAAGATTCAATACAGTGGGAAAAAGCTGAAGATAATGGAAGTAGACTTATGTACTACATCCTTGAGATCAGGTATGTCTGTTTGCAAAAGTGCTTTATAAACTACAAGAGCTAAGCAGTTAACTATTAGGTGACCAAAAGTAATAATATTTATGAAATTATATTTATACACAAACACAAAATATCTTCAGTTTAAGGACCTTGGGTACATTGTTATGTTCTTTCGTCAATTCCTAGAGGTCACCCATAGCATTCTAATTATAAGGCCTATCATATCATTCTCAGAAATCTGAAACTTCTCAATAATCCTTAGAGAAATTATTCAGTCATAGGCTCAAGCAACTGATATTTACTTAATATCTATTCTGCTTAAGGAACTAAGCTGATATTTGATGTTACATGATGGTAGGTATGTAAATTCTTGATCATTTGTTTTGGCAAGATAGAACACTCTCTAATGAGGACTGATCATGAGCTAGGTATTTTTCAGAATGTAAAATTAGAGGAGGGGCTGAAATGGTCTGAGGCCTATAATCACCCAGGCTTCTTATCCATTGTGAAAATGACAGTTTATAGTGTGTTCCCAGGGACTGAAAATGTGCTGTCCATGAAAACCAGCAGCTGATGTGCACATGAAACCTCAGACCTAGCCAGTACCAGGAGCTCAGAGAACCATAACTGGCTCAGCAGGACGGATTTCATGCCAACTTGGAGGGAGAATTCCAAATTCCAAAGACACTCCCCTCACGGGACTATGAAACCATCTTTTAAGAAGCTCCAAGGACAAAAGTCACTTCCATAATTATAGTTCTGGCGACTCAAGCTTAGATCTATTTTTGCATCATCTTGCTGTGACATTCCCATAACTTCAAAAAGTTTTCCTGCTTATGTTAGAGAATTTACTTGGCCATATCTCTAGTTGAAACCTCTGTGAAAGTTCTGTTACTAATTTCCATGCACAGTGAAATACATTCTGACCTGCAGAATTATCACAGTGGCCTGTATGTTCATCAACCAGTCCACACTATGGTTCCTGATGGGATTTCTTTACTATGGTCCCTTCAGCAACACCTTTAGTGCATGATTTCATCTGAATAGTTTGTATGCTCCTTGTCCCAGCTTTCCATTATGAATACATGGACTCCAGGACGAATTGTAACTTCAGTATCTTTAAGTTAGTTTTTTAGTCAGGACACCCTAGTTAGACTGTGTGCTTGCTGATGGTATAGTGGTTGTGCAAAGTGTATAAACTTGGGAGCTGAACAGGCTTGTAGTTTCCTAGGACTACCAGGACTATCATAACAAAGTAACACCAACTAATTGGCTTAACATAACCAAAAATGTACTGTTATGATTCTGGAGTATGGAAGTCTGGAATCTAGACATCAGAAGGAACATGTTCCCTTTAAAGGCTCTAGAAAAACTCCTCCTTTGCCTCCTAGCTTCTTGTAGTTGGCAGAAATCCTTGGTATTACTTGGTTTGTAGATGTATCACTCCATTCTCTGACTCCTTCATTACACCATGTTGTGTGTGTGTATGTGTGTATGTGTGTCTGTATCAAATTTTCCTCTTCTAATAAGGGCACCAGTCATTGAATAAGGAGTTGGCCTCATTCAGTCTGATCTCATCTTGACTTAATTATATCTGTTAAAACCCTTTTTTTTCCAAACAACATCAAATTCACAGGCTATGGATGAACATGGATTGGGGGGAAACATTATTCAATCCAGTACATAGGCAATGTTTAAATCCTTGCTCATTTTCTGTTTTAGAACTTTGTTTTTGCCACTTATTAAATTTCTAGGGACTTGTTTCTTTTGGATCAAAGTTGTTTAAAGAATAAATTTGCCAGTGCTTAACAAGAGACTTCACTAAGTGTATAAAAGCACTTTGTCATAATACTTTACTCAGGAAGGTCCTGAGGATACCCTGCTCCTGTAAACAGATGTGACCAACTTCACTTCCCTGATGCTCTTGATGTTTTTGTCTATTCCCTGCCCTGTCTGAGGCTCAGCCCTCCATATCCTGTTGTTCTTTCAGAACCGCTCAATTATCAGAAGCAGAAATAGCTTCTACTACATACCCCTAAGATCGTGTGGCTTAGTATCACATCCTAAAACTGTTAGGATCTGAAATTTTCTTCATTGTCAGAGAAGATGTAAGATCTTGAGCTTGCCTTCCGTTGATTTCATTTAAAGTCATTCTAGTTTCATCTTTTGAACTTAGAACTTGTGTTCTTTTTCTGTTTCAATGTGGATTGGCTTTGAGGTAGAGTGTAGACTAATAGAAAAGGAAGCAAGGACCCTTAGAATCTCAGATATAACAACTTTGGTGACTGAAATATCGCACCTTCCTTATCAATTTATATTGTGTATTTTATCCAGATATGGCATAAGTGATTTTCCCAATATCATAAGAAACTAAAAATTAAGAATAATTAAAACTTTTCTGTTAAAAATTATGAAATAATTGTTTTATTGTTTAAATGCTAAAGAAATTTTACACATTCTAACCAGCAAAAAAAGGTTTACTATCTTTCTCTTGTCCACTGATTACTCAAAACTTTTTGGATGGGCTGAGTTGCTTGGCTCATCTATGAGTAGGGTGACTTTTTAAACCATGCTGAGTTCTGCAGCCATACCATGTGGGAAAAATGAGATCCAGGGTAAAGTGTACAATGAAACTCTCTGGAGTTCTACATTAAAATGATATCTGAGTAACCAGAAATAACACATATATTGTCATGTTTATATTCTGTGTTTACTATTTTAGTGTTTCTTTTGCAGGGAGAACACTTCAAATGATTCAAAAAACCAAAATTTAAGGTGGAAGATGGCATTTAATGGATCCTGCAGTAGCCTTTGCACATGGAAGTCCAAAAACCTGAAAGGAACTTTTCAGTTTAGAGTAGTAGCTGCAAATAGTCTTGGATTTGGTGAATACAGTGGAATCAGTGAGAATATTATACTAGTTGGAGGTATGTCACCATATTTGCCTACACACTAGCTTACTACATAAAAGTTCAGTGATGAAGATATGTGCATCCTTAACTTTAGTACCAGTTATGGTGATTGTATAGCTTATTCAAACTGTTGAACTATTCAATTCATCTGACGTGGTCTTCCTATATAAAACATCATTATCACCATGTCATTTTACTCTTCAATAATAACCAAATACTCCTTAATGACTACCACATGAACTCCTGGGTAGGCTTCCAAGGCATCCAGAATGTGGTCTTTAACTACTCAGTCTTTTATTCTGTTCCTGGCACTCCCTTCTTACATGCAATAATCCTAGAACCACTTTTTTTTTTTTTTTTGTCTCTTTTCTAATACTTACCTCTTGTACTGTGTGCCTTGTTTTAGTTTCCAATACTTTAACTTTCTAATCACTTTGGCTGGAAGTCTCAGTACCATATTTAATCTTTTCCTCTGTGCCGTCACCAGGTTCTGTTGATTTTACCATCTTGATTTCTCTCTGATGAGTTTGTATTTTCCAATTTTCATGTTGGGTTTCCTGATTTAAGGTTTTCTTTCTTGCTTGGGCTGTTGGCTTAATCATGCTGCTGACAGTATTCTAGCTGAAGCACAGTCTAGCTCACTTAACCCTCTTAATGTACCAAAACGGCTCTTTATTTGCTGCCTTTAGAATCAACTACAAACTTCTATGTGGGATATTAAGTCTTCCATGATTTATCTTCCAATTGTAGTTAATTTTTCCCATTATTTAATCCTGTGCTGTAGCTGTACTAGACTAATTAGAAAATCTTTTGTCACTAGATCCTTAGCCTTGTGTCTTCTTTAGCCTAGAAGGTGGGACTCCACCCCCTACCATGTACCTCTTACCTGGAATTGCCTTTCCTTAATTTTCTGCCAATTGAAATTCTTTTCATCCTTGAAGACTTGACTTGAAAGAATCCATCCTGATGTGTGACTGACACTCCTTAGGCAAAATTGATGATTTCATTTTGTGCACACCTTTCATATAAAACTTTATCCTTATTTGTATTATGGTTAGTTATCTATATAAGGTCTTAGCAAACATTTCCCGAAAAGAACCAAATATAGCAAATATTTTTGACCTTGCAAACTGTATTTGCTTTCTATAGCATATCTTTTTTTAAAGTAATACTTTAAAATTATAAAAACCATTCTTAACTCATGGGAAGAACAAAATAAGGCTGTAGCCAGATTTGTCCCACAAACTGTTGTGTGCCAACCTCTGGTTTACATGTTATCTCTTCTATGCAACTGAAAATCCATAAGAGAAGACACCGTGTTTTCACGTTTGCTCTCCTCAGTTTAATATCCATGAATTTAGATGTATATGAATAAAAAATAATAATCCCAACTATATAATATATAAAGACTGAGATTTCTTTGTCCCGAATTCATTAAAAAGATCATACATGTTTCTTCTGTCACCTTAAAATAGCGAGTTGGGTGAGTGTATTTCAGTTGGGTGTTGGGACTTTTATTTTGATTTTCCATGGTGTATACACTGTCACCATAGATGATTTCAAACTACCACCTGGCTTACAAAAATCAAGTAGAAATTACCTCTAGCTAATCACTCTGTAGGTAGTTGGGTCAAATTGGGACAATTTGTTTTATTCTGTGAATTAATTTATTTTTCTCATTTATTTCATTAGATGGTTATTGGATACCAGAAGCAAGTTTTGTACTTGTCACTGTGGTTGGAGTATTTCTGGTTGTTACAATCCCATTGACATTTGGTAAGTGTCAGAAATTTTAAAAATAGGTACCAAACTATGGTTTGTTTGATTTTGTACTGATTGATTTATCTTGCGGTTTATCTAACCTCCTGCATGAGACATTACCTGATTAAATATATTCATATAATTCAATGTTACCCTTGGCCATCCTTTTATAATGAATAATTTCTGTGAATTTTTTTTAATCAAAGGATGTGTTAGTAAGTTTTCTGTTACTCTAGAGATTTATTTCAGCTCACAGTTTTAGAGGTTTCAGTCCATTAATGACTGGCCCTGTTTCTTTGAGTGTGTGGCACACATCATGGCATTACATGACCAAGCAAGGCCCTTACCTCATGGCTAGGAATGAATGAGGGGAAGAGGAAGGGGATGGGGTCCACTTTCCCCTTAAAGAGAATGCCCTCAGTGATCTGAAGACCTCTCCTTAGGCCCCATCTCTTAATGTTTCCACCACATCCTGACAGTGTCCAGGTGGGGACTAAGCATTAAACATATGAACTTTCAGGGACATTCCAGATCCAAACCATAGCAAGGGTAACTATTTTATGAAAAATATATCTGTGTATACACTTCATGGTGTACTTTAGATAAAACTATTTTCAACGTCACCATCTTCTAGCTTTCTTTAAAGCAGTATTTGTTTCTGATTGGCTATAACAAGTGTTTTGTGGCTTTAATATTGAAATAAATAAAAGAAAAATAACCCTGGGTACAAAAAGAGTGTAGGATTAATTGGGAGGCCAGTGACAATTTTTGGTCAGGATAGTTTTGGTCTCCAGGCATACAGCCTGGTTTGGAATGAGCAGGGCCTCTTTCTCAGGAGATCCATTTCTGGCTTGTAGGATCCATGCTCACTTTCAGATGTCTGACTGGCTTATTTCAAAACCCTGCTTAATTATAAATGACTAGGAAAGCAGAAGAAGTAGTGTAGGTAGATAGTGAGTTAGCTACTTCCCATTATTCGTTTTAAGTGGATGTGCTAGTCTTAAAATACCCCACCCTCTTTTAAGATTTAGTTCAGTGATGAGACAATAGAGTAGCAACCCCAACACAGACAGTCAGAGATAGGGCCCTTAAGGTGATCCTAGTGATCATATGTTCTGATTTTTCCTGTTGTTTCATTGTAAAAATCAATAGCACTCTCTTTCAGTTCTCAAAATGTCTTGTTGGTTTGGGTTCTAACATATATGGTCCCATTCTCTGTTGCTGACAAGCTGGAACATTGTGAGGAAAGCATAATTCCAGAAAAGGAACTCAAGCGCATAGTCAGGAACCTGTAGCTTATTTTATTATAAATAAGAGAAAATTGAAGGGACAGTTGGAAGCATAAAGCTGATTCTCTGAGGATGAAGAAAGCCAATGTTTCGTTCAGTGTTCTAAATCTCTATTCTTTCTCTAAACTGATTGGGAGTCACAAGGTATCAGAGAGCACTTTGAACTTGAATCGAGATTTCATTTCAAAGATTCCACTCAGACAATATGAGAAACTCCTTCAGCAAAGTGGGAAAGCTAAAAATTTCAGCTGACACTGCTAGGATTTTAACCTGTGGTTCCAGGGAGTCTAAGTATTGCACAGCTGATGTTTGTGCCACTAAGCCGGCCCCTCCACAGTTACACATATGACTGCAGTATATTTGGCAGTTGGCATATAGACTTGACTGCTTGTCTGCTTTCGTGCTAGAAAGGATATTACATGAAGAACCCTTCATCTGACCTTTGTTTTCCTGCTTGTACATCACCATTGTTTAAACCCATGACTAGTGGATGAACATGAGATAATTTCAGACAACCTATTGTGTGCTTTCAAGATATTCTATGGATCTCTGACTTTCTCAGGACTTAAAGGTCTTTATTCTGTTTGGAACTCATGGTTTTTTGAATGTAGCTAAGCTAATCCAGTTTTTGCTTTCATTAGCAGTGCATGTGGTTTTGCTAGTAGTGTGTGAGTGCATGAAAAAAGGCTGAGTTATTAAAATGGTGAGAAGTAGCAATTCTTTTAAAATTTGTATTGTGCTGAGGGTTCTCATTGGTCATACTTATAAACTTGAAAGAACGGTTTAAAAATAAGCATTGACAGCCTTTGAGTTGGTGAGTGGTTTTATCTAATGTGCAACATTAGCCTTATGCTTGAGAATAGAAAGGAAATAAAAAGCTGTAAAAATACAATTACTGACCTTAGAACTTGCCCTTTAATGAGGGTGGTAAGATGTACCAGTATGAAAAGAGCACTACCTGTGTTAAATAACATGAAATGTACAAGACAGTGACACAATTGGTCTTTGAAATTCAGAGATGAGAGAGCCTCAGAGTTTGCAGAGGTCTCAGATGATGTCACCAAAAATGTAGGGCTTACCCTGGGTCTTTAAAAATATAGAAAGCTCATGAAAAACATCTCAGGGTTGAAAAACTGCAGTAGCAAAGGTACTTGCAACTTTTCCCTTTATAGTGCCTCCAGAGGAATTTCATGTGAATAAAACTCTAACCCTCTTGGATATAGAAACTACTATGAAATGAAGTCCACATTTTAACTATCATCTCCCAAAGCACCTTTGCAGTTTTCAACTTCTGAGTCAAAATTACACTGTAGATTGGAGATCTACAATTGCATTTTAATCTTTGAAAAATAAACTTTATATTATATCTGCTTATGTTATAAAAAGACAATATAAATTACTCATGATTCCAAAATGAAAGGGAAAACCTGCTAATGGTTGGTGGCTTTTATTCCAGTTATTTTTCCATATATTTGAATATTCATATATAAACAACAATAGATTTAATAATTTTGCATTCTGTCATTATATTGAAAGCATTTTTTAGTGTGCCATTCTATTGAAAGCATTCCCTCAGGTCTACTAAATGGAATATGTCTGGAGTCAGAAATGAATGTTTCACTAATAGTTACTATGCAAGTATGTTTTGATTTATTTTGGGTCATTTTGAGAAATAAATTCTAATATTAAGATGCTTCAATTTATTCATAATAATATGTTAAGCTTTACTCTGAGAAGTGAGATAAAAGTGATGTATATAACTTGTATATTTTTAGGACATTTTGTCTGGATTTAATACTGTGGGCACATTTTTTAATCAAGTTCTATTATTTTGTGAATTGTATTCTTATACACAAGCATTTAAAGTGTATTAGCATGTCCTGAAGGAAAAAGGAAGCAATATTTTATTTTTTAAATTATTTTTTTGCTTTAAAGTGTGGCACAGAAAGTTCAAGAATCCAAAAACTTCCAAGGAAGGCCTGACAGTTCTCCTAAACGAAGACAAGGAGTTGGCAGAGCTGCGAGGCCTGGCAGCTGGGGTGGGACTGGCTAACGCCTGCTATGCAATACAGTATGTAGTCTGGGCATTCTTTATGGAGCTCCAATGCAAAGAGTGGGTGACAATATGCCCCTTATTCTGGCATAATTATTGATAACTTTCTCTTCCAGTCTCTGATGTGACCAGAGACGACTGGCAAATTATGTGGTTATCCTATAAAATAAATACAGAAAAGTCCATTGCTTTTTAGTGTTTTATCATGTAGTTAAAAAATAAATGAAAGAAGAAAATACCACATTGAAGAGAGTAGATGGTAATGTGGTTGGTTCCATTGGAGATAGAGTTTGAGATGAAAGGAAATTCCCAGCATCTCATATTAAGCCAATTTTAGCCCATTTCGGAAGTGGCATGATGATTGCCTCAAAATCTCTTTAAGACAGATGAGTTTTGATCTTCTTTTGTTATTAAAATTGAGGGAAATACTTAAGTGTTTCTTTGCATGTTTCTTTATATTATAGTGTATACAAAAAGGAATGGTACTGGTATGTTCTTAGGTCTTGCTTCTAGAAATTTATAATTCATGACATGAAAACAAAGGGTTTAAAGTAGATACAGAGGTAACCAGGTATTTGGAACTGACTTTTCTTTGACAAAATACTCAGCATATCTGATATTCAAGATTTTTCTATTAAATCTCAAAGTTACCAGGGATTGAATACAAGGGAGCTTAACCACTGAACCGCATCTCAACTGTTTTTTATATTTTGTTTAGAGACAGGATCTTACTGAGTTGCTTAGGGTCTCACTAAGATGTTGAGGCTGGCTTTGAACTAAAAATCTTCCTGCCTTAGCCTCCCAAGCCACTGGAATTACAGGTGTGTGCCAATTGCACCCTGCAAACCCAAAGCTTTAATCTAGAGACTCCATCTCATGATAGTCCAAGTGAGAAAACTGGCTTTCTAAATTAACCTGTTAGATGGTGATGGGGTTGATTTTTTTTTGATCATAGTAAATTCCATTTTACAAAACATATCAGGTATATGAAACTGTTGAAATGAAAACTCATAGACTCAGATGCATCTATTGCTAATTTCTAATCATTTTTCACACAAATTAGCAACCTGAAGAAGTTCATAGCTGCTAACTTTGATAGAACTAGTTTAAAAAAAATCTCAAAGCAACACATACACATGCATGTTTCTGTTGAAGTGAAGATGCCTGGAAGCAAAGTTACTTGCTTTCTGTAAAAGGTGGTGGAATCGAGAAGTATTAATAGGAGCACAGAATTTCATACACTATATCACATGGAACCGACAATGCTGCCATGCCCTGAGATTGTTCTTTCTCTCTCAAACACAAACTTTAAACTGTATGTATTTTGTGAGAATAAATATGCTGTTATTTTACAGTACTCTTCCGACCCAAGAGGAGATTGAAAATCTTCCTGCTTTCCCTCGGGAGAAACTGACCCTGCGCCTCTTATTGGGAAGTGGAGCTTTTGGAGAAGTGTATGAAGGGACAGCCGTAGACATCTTAGGAGATGGAAGTGGAGAAATCAAAGTGGCAGTGAAGGTAACGTGGATGTCTGGACTTCTTGACCAGTTAGGTCACCATATTTATATGGGTTGGCATGGATATGACTGTAATAAAAGTTGAATGCTTTTAGCTAAAAAGAGGACCAAGAGTAGGGTGAATGTAGTTAGCAATAGTGTATATGTATCTCTCAAAATAGAAGAGAGGATTTTTTAATGTACTCACTAATAAATGATGAAAGTCCTTGGTTTGATCATTAACGAATGTATACATAAATCAAAACATCACATTGTACATCTCAATATGTACAAGTATGTCAATTAAAAATAAAATTAACTTAAAAATTGACTGATAGAATGTAGAAACCTATACATAGCTATAGAAGTCACTATCCTCCCATCCCTCCCATTTCCCAGATAGGTTGTATAATCAACAGAAAATCTCCAGGGTTTACATGACCTCTAAGGCTGTTAGCTGAGACCTGGTGAACAGTTTTTCCAATCAATCATTCTAAATGAAAACTGGAATTACAAAATACATTCTTAAAGAATCAGAGCAGGGTCAACAAGTGTTTTCTCAAATAAACAGGTAGTAAATATTTAGGCTTGCGGGCCACACAGTCTCTGTCTCAATTCTTCAACTCTGCTATTGCAGCTTAAAAGCAGCCACAGTGTATATGTTCTATTTAGTGTGGCTGTGTTCCAATAAAACTTTATTTATGAACATTTAAATTTGTATCATGTGATTGTTTGTCATGGTATGCTTGATGTATTTTTAAGGAAGCACTGGGCACACTCTCGTATTTTTGTAAAACTTTCTTTTGGTAGTGGGATAATGAAACTGTTAATGCAATTGTGCACCATCATGATTACAGCTTATTAGGAATTTATTGCTCTGAGGGTAACCTGTACAACCAGAAACATGGCAAAATTCTCTCCACTTCTAAATAATATGCTTTAAAAATACTTTAACTTAATCCAGTCTCAATTGGTTTAAACAAATGTTTATTGTTCTCACATAATGAGATGACTGCTGTTTTGGTGCAGTCCTATGTCCTATAAGAGCCAGTATCTCTGAAAAGAACCTGGCATCACATCTTCATTCAATCCAGGGAAAAGGGAGTAAAATGGTGCTAGATATATATGTTCAGGAATGCAAATGTTTCCCACAAGCCTCTCTCCTGCTCAGCAATTTTTTCTTGGGTCCAGAACTGAACTAAAACTTATTTACAAGGAAGGCTAGAGAATTTCAGGACAAATTTTCATGAGTAACTTACATCAGCTACCTAAGACTTGGCACCTTGTCCCTAAAAAATAAATTTGGGTATTGTTAGCAAAGAAATCAGGGAAATACATATTGAGTAGAAAATTTTGAAAAGTCAGATATTGACCTGTTAAATGCTAAAATTGGTCTCTTTTTAAAATTCCCATCCTTTGGAGAAAAGTTGTATAAACATTACTAGATCTTTTATCTACTGTATTTTCTTATATTAGCAATAAGAGGAGATTTACAGGTCACACTCACATGCTGCATCTGTGGTCTATTTACAGCTTTCAGGGTGAAGACTGAAAAACAAAACCTTCTGCATTAACCCTCTGAGCTCACAGGATGGCTGCTATACTGATTACTGACTTGTTTTTCTGTTGCACAGACCTTGAAGAAGGGCTCCACAGACCAGGAGAAAATTGAATTCCTGAAGGAAGCACATCTGATGAGGTATCAGGGTAGTTCCAAAATAATTTTCTCTTACCGATGTGGGTAGGAAGCTTTTGTCTCTGTGCATTGGATTTTTAACATGCAAAATGACTGGTTGTAACAAATTTTACTCAAAGCAAAAATGACTGAAAAGTTTGAGAGGAAATATGTCTGTACTAATAAGAATTCTATGGAGGCCAGTCAGCTGAGCCAGGGTACAGGCAGCCCTTAGGCAAAGGGTTCTCCTTTCTTTTATCTTTGATAAGGAAGATTCTTTGCAAGTGAATTCTGAAGCTGTTCAACTTTAAACACATCTGTGTTCTAAAATGTGTGATAATGGGTGAAGTAGACCCTGTAAGGGAGAGTTCTCTTAAGCATTATTTGATATCCCTTTCTAGTAAGCCTGTCTGCAAAGTTTCAGTTTATGGCCATGATATGTACTCAAGGACATCATTTAAAAATGTTTTGTTGGCACATTATGATTATACGTAATAGTGGAGTTCATTTCATTGTGACATATTCATGTTTGTATATAACATAATCCCCTCCTTGCCTCTGCTTTACTCGTTTCCCTTCTACTTATATATACACAATGTATATATGATAAATACCTTAATTATTATATTATAGTTATATATAAATGTTGGATTTGTTGTGATTTATTCATACATGCATATAGCATAATTTATTTTCATTCCTGTTCCTTCCCATTCCCTGCCTTCTCCTCAATCCCCTAACTCTGTTCTACTGATCTCACTTCTGTTTTATCAAGAACATCTTAAAATGGAGATTCAAGGAAGCAGTTCAGGGAATCCTTGACTGTGAGTCCCAGATGGTAGGCTGGGCTTATTTTGATGTCTTAAGAAACCAGTAGAGCAGCCAAAACCTGTAGACTTGAGTTGTTTCTCTAAAAGGGAAAGAATATATTTCACACTTGTGATGACCAAAAACATCACCAAAGATTCCAAACAGCTTTTGAAGAAGGCTATTAGTCAAATTGCTTTCTTTTCTGTCACAAATGAGGTTGTGGTTCAGTGGTGGAGCACTTGCCTAGCATGTGTGAGGCACTCGGTTCAATTCTCAGCACTGCATATGAATAAATGAATAAAATAAAGGTCCATCAATAACTAAAAACAATATTTAACAAGAAATATTTAAAATTTTTTAATATAAATGCTATTTCTTCTAAAATCCACCCTGTTCTATCCACATGCATTGGCCACTAGGGGTTGCCACGTTACCTCCATAAGGCACATACACAGACCAGTAGTTGGAAAAGGAAGCTTGCACCTATTAAAGAAAGTAAGTCAGGGATTCTGAAGGAAACTATGCATAAAGAATTTGTTCATTCCATAAGGAGTCTCAGCTAGGTCTCCTGTTGCTATCATATCATTAGTCTTTGTCTTTCCACCTTTTAGCAAGTTCAATCATCCCAACATTCTGAAGCAGCTTGGAGTTTGTCTGCTGAATGAACCTCAGTACATTATCCTGGAACTGATGGAAGGAGGTGACCTTTTAACCTATTTGCGTAAAGCCCGGATGACAACGGTAGGCAGAACGGTCCACACCATTGATTTCCTTGTGCCAATGCCTATAGCTTCCCATTAATTTTTATTTCAACAGGTTGTAGTTTTGGCTGGTGGTAGAACCTTACAAGGTTTCCATGATAACCTTTAGCATTAGATTGGGACAATTTGAGCCTTTGTTTAGTATTTAATGGGAAAATAAGTCCCTCATGGTCAGAATTGTGTTTTTTTCTGGAACATAGAGATTGTGTGCAGTTGGAATGGCCCATCTCTTTACCTTATCTATATGCCTGTCTGTCCCATATTACATTTCCAGTCCCAAAGTCTTTATTAAATTCTAAACCCTTAGGTCAGATCTATTGACTTAGATCTATCTAGGTTGACAGATCAATTTGGATTTTATTAGGCATCTTGAATTTGCTTTGGCCAATACAAACCTCTTGATTTCTAATCCTCTCCTGCTTCATCCATCCAGTTCCTTGCCTTCTTTTCCCGTACATCCACGCTATCAACTCCTGTCAGCTCTACAGTTCTGCCTCGGATCTGTCTTCTCTTTTTCAATGTGGACTCTAGAGATACTATGAATTAGTGGACAGAGTCAGGAGGTAACCACCTGTGGGAATCTACTTTATGTTTCAGTTGAGAAAACATGTGAGACAAGATATTAGAGTTTAAATCTGGATATTTTCCTATCAAATACATTATATGACTAAAAAATTAAAATGTATGATAGGAGCCCTGTACTGCTTGACTTTCGCACCTCCCAGGCCTGCACGTTATCTTCTGCACGTGTTTAATTCCACATCCTTGAAGACTCTGCTTACACTGATGTACATTGATCTTGGGAAGAAATCTATCTATGTCCCACTATGAAAGATGAAAATTTAACTTACATTTCCTCCTATATCTGCCCAACCCCACCAGCATTAGACACAGAAAAATTTTGCTTTTCCCGTCCTCCAACTTTTTGTCACATTTTCCAAATACATCAGTACTCCATCTTTGCATTATTGCAGCCTTTAATTATTATATGCAACTCAGTTACTCAAATGCTGGGATTTTGGTTCCATCCCCCCCACCCCATCCCTGCTTGGGTTATTTTATTAAATGCCTCTTATTTATTTATTTATTTATTTTTCCTTTGCTTTGCTTGCTATTAGTTAAGCTAGGATTATATCACTTTTCTCAGTATGGCTAGTCCATCAGGTAATCCAGCTGTTCAGTTTTTCTTTGGGTCCCTCCTTCCTGAGGCCACACAGGTGCTTGTCCTTCAAGCTGCCTGCACATCTGCTATCCCAGAGATTTCCTTCAGGTGTATTCTGGTCATGGATCTCAATTCTTTTTATGCTGGACCCTTTTACCCTCTATCTCATGACTTCTTTGTTTTTGTTTTAGGAAAGAGCAAGAATGAGGAAGCATGCATGTGAGGCAAAATTTTGTGTTTTTTTGCCCCCCCCCCCCATTTTTTGAAAAAATATCTTTTATTCTTCCCTTACACTTGACTGATAACTTGGTTGGAATCTATGTTGAAAAATCCTCTTATTCCCAAATAAAACCATCTTTGTTTTCTAGCTTCTACAACTGCCACTAGGAAATCTTATGCTATTCTGATTCCTGATTCCTGGTGATCTGCTTTTTGCCCCTCTTTTTGGAAAATTTTAGTGAAATTTTGTGTGTGGTATACTCTTTTCTGGACAATGACTGAAAAATCAATCCTTTCCTTTTTTAATATTATTTTTTGATAATAAATACAGTTCTTAGTTCCTTCTATTTCCTAGTTACAGAAATCATCTTAGTTGGACAGGGGGCTACTTTGTTTCAAATTCTCTTACTTTTGGCTATTTTCTGTTATTTTTTATCTCTTGTTCTTTTTCTCTCCATTCTGATAGACTTTCTAGACTTTATCCCTTAAAATTTTTATAGAATAAAGTTTCTGTTATCATATTTCAACTTTTCACAAACTTGTTCTTATACTTTGCATTTTAAAATAAGACTGTTTTTTCTCATAGATTCAAAATTTTGTCTTGTATTTCTTGGGATACTAATCCTTTTTTAAAAGTTAATTTGCTTCCAATTCTTGATTTCATTTTTTCCTCTTTGTTTTGAAATCTGTTTTCAATGTGAGAAGGTTTTCTCAAAATGTTTGGTGATTTCTTTTTCCTGGTGCTGGGGATCAAACTTGGGGTTTTGCATATGGAGGCAGGAGCTCTACTACTGAGCCATACCTCCAGTTCCTATTTGGTGAATCTTGGCTGGTCTTTATAATTAATATGAGGCCCAAGAAGCTGACTGGGACCTGTGTGTGTAAGAAAGTTTCCTTCTGGTTGTTAAGCAGGCCCCTGCTGCTCCCATCTGAATCTCTTCCCTGGTGTGTATTGGTTTCAACAGAAAGGGATTTGCTGGTCTTTTCTCCCTGGGCAATAAAACCCTGATGTTTTAGCTCAGGGAGTCAAAAGAGGATTGGAGGTCTCAAAGCTCAGTGTGGACTCTCAGTTTCATTCTTCATTGTCAGCCAGTGCTTTAATATGGTGGTGGTTGTTGTTATTGTTATTGTTATTATTATTATTATTTAACTCAGAGTTATTCTGACTTAGATTTCTATTTTCTTCTTCTTCTTCTGCAGAGAAAAGATGCCTGCCATGCTAGGGTATCTGGGATCTAGTTAACCCTGAAAGAACTAAACATTCACCTTGCTTTCTGTCCTGACCCTTATCCCTGCATTCAGAAATACCTGCCACCTCCATTCTAGAGCTTTTATGGGGTTGTATCATGAAAAACAGGTCAATTGGGTATTCTCCTTCTGCTGGAAGTCAGCTGTCCCCAATCTTGGCTCCCTTATGTAACCATTCCTCCATCTGCTTACCCTCTTCCAAAATGTTTTATCTTTTATATCTATTCACCTGACCTATTTGTCCTTGAGAGTTTCCAAAATACACACCTCCCCATCATCATTTTATTAAGTGTTAGGGAGAAAGTAGAACTAAAGACGCACACATTCAAAGAATGTTTATTTGTATGTTTTACTTTGGTGGCATAGGGGGGAGAGAATGAAGACGGACCAAAAGAACATAGATCTACTTTTTAAAAACGTTACCTATTGACCCAAGATCCCAATGGTTATAATGGCTGATTTTCAACTATATTCCAATTCTTTTGCTGCTTTTCCCACGGGTTGACCTGTAGGCTGACCAGGAAGTTTCCAGGGCTTCATCTCACTCACTGCCACCAGAGAGGACAGGATGCTGTTAGGTTCTGTGTGCCCATGAGGGAATACCCAGACATGATGTCCCCCCTCAGGGTGATGCATTCTAGACTAGCCACCTCTACACAGGGATGCTCAGAAACACATTCTAGAAGAACCAGCACAAGTTACCTCCTTGTCCTGCTTCCACACTGGTTAATAAGGATTGACTGCAACTAGGTCTAGAAACTTCGATTTGGGGAACTCAGTTTCTTCATCCATAAACTGAAATACTGAATCAAAAGCTTTCTAAGGTTCTTTTTGGCTTTGATGTTCTAGGATTGGATTAAGATAAAAAAGAAAAACTATCAAAATAATACAAATATACAGTAATAAATGTGTTGTCTTCAAGAGCAATTTCATTTGTTCAATTTCTGTTGGTATTTATTGTATGACAGTGAAAGATGTGGTTCTTTGTCTCAAGGAACTTGCCACTTGGTAGGGATGGCTGTCATAGGTCACATATTACCCTCAAGTAGACCCATTAGGAAGGACCCATTAAAGTGGGGTGGAGAATATATTGCTGAAGAGGAAAGAGAGGTGATTCCTAACTAAGAAAAGCAAGGAAGTTGTCATGGTGGAGGTCATCTGTTTGGGACACAGCTAAGGTAGGAGATATAATGGTTACAGCATATCTTCTCCTGAGTGATTAAGGCTTTGAATAGGGATGGGACCTGGTGAAGGTTTAATACATCTGAAGGGTTTAGCAAGACACAGCAGGCAGTAGATGCGGGCAGCATCTAAAGTCCAGGGGGCCCAACATAGAATGATGAGGTGTCCCTATCAGGGATAAGAGGAGGTGATAATAGCCATGGATCCAAGCAGGCAGGCAGGCAGCATTATGGAAATCTCGTCAGCAGTACAAGGAACAGGGCAATATCATTAGACTGAAGTTCAGGAGCAGGATTCTAAATCTAGAAAAAATCTTCATGAGTAGAGTAGATTTTACCAAGATCAAACAGTTCCATTCACACACAGGAACCAGTCAAGCAGTCAGGATGCTCAGGAGAAGACTAAATTTAGGCCACGAGATAGTCATCTAGTGGACCTGAGCAAGGTTGGAGGCGGGATGATTCTTGGTATAAGGTTAGACCCTAGCTAATCCGCCCTAGGTGTAGTTGTGTGGGGCTATGGCAACACTAAATCCTGGAATAATAGGATTATCACTAGTTTCAGGGCAAGATTTGAGATTGTTAGAGGTGCTTAAAAGCACCTCTGCATGAGGAATTGAGGGATTTGGAGGTTGGGAGTCATTTGAGATGCTCATTAAAGGATGTTGATGGAAATCAAGAACAAGGAGATCATCCCAAGGGGGAAAAATATCATAGGAGAAAAAAAAAAGAAGAGAGGTTGAGAAATGCAGAGAAATTATAAGCAACAACATGTATCCCAGAATGACTGAAGCAAAAGATCATGAGAGGAAGTAAAATGAACATACAGAGAGGCAGGTGAAGTCTGGGGCTGCCACAGGCAGGGGGTGGGGTGGGAGGTAATCAGGAATTTATAATGGAATTTACAGGAAGTGGCACAACAAGGCGATCTACTGGAAGTATAAGAAGCTGAAGAGATGGGAAGTTTTTCAATGCATCAGATTAGGGATGAAAAAAGCCCAAACCAGGTAATTGCAGGAAAATGGAAAGGCACAGACAATGTATGATCATGTCCTTCAGGAAGGAACTTTGATTTTTTTTCCATATGCTGTGAATAAAATTTTTCACTGACTTTTTTCACCTGGAAATCATTGCAACCAGTACTGGCTCCAGTTTATATTTGCGCTGGCTTTCTCCTCCTCCTCCTCCTCCTCCTTCCTCCTCCTCCTCCTCTTTCTCCTTCCTCCTCCTCCTCCTTCCTCCTCCTCCTTCCTCCTCCTCCTCCTCCTTCCTCCTCCTCCCTCTTCCTCCTCCTCCTCCTCCTTCTTTCTCCTCCTCCTTCCTCCTCCTCCTTCCTCCTCCTCCCTCTTCCTCCTCCTCCTTCCTCCTCCTCCTCCTCCTTCTTTCTCCTCCTCCTTCCACCTCCTCCTTCCTCCTCCTCCTCCTCCTCCTTCTTCTTTCTCCTCCTCCCTCCTCCTCCTCCTTCCTCCTCCTCCTTCCTCCTCCTCCTCCTTCCTCCTCCTCCTTCCTCCTCCTCCTCCTTCCTCCTCCTCCTCCTCCTCTCCTTCTCCTCCTCCTCTTCCTCCTTCTCTTCCTCCTCTCTCCTCCTCCTTCTCTTCCTCCTCCTCTCCTTCTTCTTCTCCTCCTCCTCCTCCTCTCCTTCTCCTTCTCCTTCTTCCAAGAGTATTACTAACAATTTTATGAGACTCATATGAGGAACTAGTTCATAGTCTTGACTGATATGTTAGAGTGCCAGGGCCAATAATTCAAACAAATAGAATTGGTCAAATATTATTACTACTCATGAGAACAGTTACTGTTTATCAAGTACCTGCTGTGTCCCAACAATATTACAGATTTTATTTTTATTTTTTTAAGGTCAGTATTACTATGCCCATTTTACATATGAGAAAGTTACTTGGTTAATTAAGCAATTTAAGCAAGATCACACAACTAGTTAATAACAGAATTAGTTTTCAAATGTTGGTCTGTCTGATCTTATAGTGTGAGATCTTTCCAATAAAGATCCCATATCAGCTCTCCTTATTATAAATATAGTCTTTCATTTATGTATGTTTTGATAGAAAGCATATAAAACATTTTTCTCTTATTTGAATTATTGTAAACATAACTAGAAATTCCTTCAGAACATCATATATAGATGTGTATGTGAATGTATATGTATGTATCCAAATAGTCACACTTATATGTATATATTTTGTGCAAATTGGAAAAGTACTAATAATTTTTCCTTAATTTCTCACAGCTTCATGGTCCTTTACTCAACTTGGTTGACCTGGTAGATGTGTGTGTAGATATTTCAAAAGGCTGTGTCTACTTGGAGCAGATGCACTTCATTCACAGGTATAGACTCTATTAAAGAGGAATATATTGTTTAAAGGGTTATTATGAACCCTTTAAACAATATTACCATACAACTACAGGTACCATATTACCTGTAGTTTAGACACGTCACACAAAATACTTAACACATTTTCATTCCTTCAAAACAGCAATATTTCTATAAGAAGTCTGTCTTCTATTCTACCTACAAGTGTTACTCATCTGTTTTCCAGAACTTTATTATTAAATATAATTTCTCTCATAGGGATCTGGCAGCTCGGAATTGCCTTGTGTCTGTGAAAGACTATACCAGTCCTTCGCGGATAGTAAAGATTGGGGACTTTGGACTTGCAAGGGACATCTATAAAAATGATTATTATAGAAAGAGAGGGGAAGGCCTGCTCCCCGTTCGGTGGATGGCTCCAGAAAGTTTGATGGATGGAATCTTCACTACTCAGTCTGATGTATGGTGAGCCTAATGGGACACAGAGAAACACAGGCAGAACTGTCAAACATCAAACATCAGAGTCAGAAAGGATCTTAAAAGAACATCGAATCCCATTTTTCTTTTAAATGTGAGAAAACAGAAGACCAGAGAGGTTAAGCTATTTTCTTCAAGCTAATGTGAAAGCTGGTTGTCAAGATGGAACTATTCCTGGGTCTCTGCCACTTACCTTCCTCTCCCAATCAGTTTTGATCCTTTATTTTACAATAATATACTAAAGAGAGAGATTTACTTCAAGTGTTTTATTACTTTCCACAGGCATTTAAATATATGACAAATACAAATTGGTGCTTATGAATTAATACCCAAATATGTGCCCAAAAGTCTGCTATTTTGGGTTTCTTGGTGATTGATTCACAGGTAGACTTTAAATCACAGATGGCAAAAAGATTAGGATATTGGGGAGGTTTGGACATATTTTTATTATTTGAATAAGATTCCTCATTTTTGCTACTTGACTTCCAACTTTTGATTCGAGTTGCTTAAATGTAAAGATTTGTCCAGTGACATGTTAAGTTGAGCTGGCCCTAGGCAAAATTGTGGTTGAGATAAAATTGATTCTTTCTATGTTTACCAGTATTCTATCCCCCTCAAATGCGAGAAATAGTGAAGTGCTCTCTTATTTACCCACATGAGTGTCCACATACTGATGCTCTAAAGCCATGTGCAGTGGAATCCATAATAAAGTTTTAGCTGGGGGAGGAACAGTGTGCAAGCATGTATGCACACACATGCATCTGTGTGTGCATGTGTACACGCATGCATGAGTGTGTGTATATGTGCATGTGCATCTGTGTGCGTTTGTCTCTGTGTGTGCATGTGCCCCCACTAAGTTTTCCTATTACTTTTGAAGTATTGTTCCATATGCAGTGTACTGTGCTACATTTTCTTAAGTTCTAACTTTTTTCAAGTCTCCTATTTGCCTGTTATGAGGCCAATAATGTCAACCACAAAAGTAGGCCCCATAGTCACAGGAATAATTTATGTTGAAGAAGCTATTGTAAACCTGATATCTCTAATAAGTATAATTAAAGCCAACCCTTTATATCTTTAGGTCTTTTGGAATTCTGATTTGGGAGATTTTAACTCTTGGTCACCAGCCTTATCCAGCTCATTCCAACCTTGATGTTTTAAACTATGTGCAAACAGGAGGGAGACTGGAACCACCAAGAAATTGTCCTGATGATCTGTAAGTTAATTATATTAACACAAGCATCCCCCAAACAAAAACGTGTATTATCTTAGGCCTCATTGATATGGCATTTTAAAATAAAAACTGGAATTTATATATTTGTGTATGCCACATAATCTGTGGATTGATTGTGACACTTAATTTACTAAACACATTATAGTTTCTTCTTATTTATATATGCATGTGACAGCTCACTCAGAAACAAACATTTGGACAGTAGAGTTTATTTATATTCCTGTCAAGTTAATTCTAACAAATAGACATAGCTTTGTGTGTATGAATAAGTATGTTTGTGTGTGTGTACATGAATTTGTTAATTTTATTTTGGGAGATGTGATTTGGATAATATCTTAATTAAAAGGCCCTATTAAATAAGAATATACTTTTTCAAAGTCATATTGCCTTTGTTAATCTAACTGATAATTTTCCATGGGAAATAGTATTACTAAAAATTATACATATTGTGATCTGTTTATGAACTTAACACAAAATGACTAAATATTAATGACTCTATCAAATTGATTTTCATCACTATAGAATTCTAATAGTGATCCCCAGAAGAGAGAGTAATTTTTGTCTCAATCTGAGTGAAAACAAATTTCTAGGTTATTATGCTTGGGTACTCATTTGCCTCCTGTGAAGAACCTCAGAAGAAATATCAAGTCTTGACACTTTACCTAAGAGGTTCTGAAAGAACAAATGACCAAATATCTCAATTATATACACAATACCAAGCCGAGGATTGTGTGGAGTACAAATGTCTTTATACTAGCACCACAGCTCTTCTGCATCTTGGAATGTATTTTGAATGAAAAGACACACACGGTGCAGTTGGGTGACCAGCCAGCATGTAATAAAGTGCTAAACTGTGTGGTACAGACAAGTGCAAAAGGAATTAGCAGTATGCGGATGCACACCATGGTTGTACTGCCTTGACTATGCAGTGTTATTTAGAGGATTATTCAGCCCTGAGCCAACAGATGATTAAGAGCCGGGCACCTTGATTGGTGTTCTACTGGTAAATGTTTCTGCAATACTACTCATTTCTAATTTAGCTTTTACAACTTCTGGAATATTTTTAAAGAGATCAGATATGCACACACTTGATCAGATTTGGTAACAGTGCCTAAAAAAAAAAAAGTTATTCATGAGCCTTTGGGGGAGAGATGGGGAAAATCTGCAAATTAGAGATAAGAAATCATTCAAAAATTTAAAAAATTTCACCTATGGTGAAACGCAGCATACCTGAATATGAAATGAAGTTTAAGTAACCATTAATCTATTTTGCATTCTAACACTTCTCTCAAGCACTGAGAAATGTCCCCCAGAATTTCAATTGCAGAGTTTTCCTTATGCTCTTAAATTTTTATTGGTATGACCCCCTGAGGAGCGGGTAATGTGCCTCTTCATAATTATACAATATTTCTGCACAGGCACCTTAGTAATAGATATTGAATTATAAATTTTGACAGATTTATTTAATTATTTTGTTTGGGGAGAATGGAGATGAATAATAAATTGCTGATTTGCACTGCAGAAAAATATAGGTCTGATGAATTTTGTTCCATCCAAAGGTATGCACAAATGCAACTAGAAGGAGGAGGAAGAAGAAGTGCTACAAAAATTCTAGAAAAGTATTCCTGATAAGAAGTGGGAAAAGATAATATTCTATCTGGTGTTCTCTTGAATAATTCATTGGTTGAATACATTATTATCCTAATTTTTATGAAAATCCAGTTTCCTTGAAACCCAGATTTTTAACTAGGGGGTGTTAAAGTTCATTTCTACATTATTAATAAAAAAAAAAGGGAGCAGTGCTCCAAGACTTCCACGTGATGCATGACTCTGCAGAGCTCCAGGAAGGGTTAAGATCTACTGCCAACCTGCAAAACAAGCTGTGCTAGGAAATGGAGCTCTTGGTGATGCCATTCAATCTGGTCAAGGCCTTAAGTTGTCATGATAAAGATTAACTACTCTCTTTAGAGTACAGAGGGAACTGATTTTTATTTGAAGCAGTCCTCTGAGATCACAGGCCCAGCTTAGATGTTGAAAGTCTGCACTGAGCCACGCTGCACCTTCTTCTATTCACTGCTTAAATTCTCAGCACCTGGATGCACTCTGGGTCAGGTGAGCCCATAGATGGCTATGCTGTTTTAGCTATTAGTGGAATGTAGGATTCAGAGCATTCCTGCCCCTCTCTCCATAGGCTCAGATGTGTGGAGGGGGAAAAGCCCAGCCATCAGTCTTCTCTTCAGCTTTAGTTTGCACAACAACTACACCAGTCTGAGAAGAAACAGGATCAAAGGGCAGTCTACCTCAAGTGAGAGCTCTTGGGGGTTCTATGACAGATGTGTCACAGCAGCAGGAGTCTCACCCTCTTCTTTTCATTCCTGAAAAAATATGTACAACTGTATACTAATTGGGTCTCTCAAAGACTGAGTATAATGAGTAAGGGATTTTTGAAATCTGTATTTTATGAGCTTTGTTTAAATACCTGCCCCCTTAACACTAAAAGATGCTATGGAGTTTTCCTTTGTTCAACGTCAATGGCTTCATGAATTCAAGGACTCTAATAAGCATAGAGATTAATATTGAACACAGCTAATGAGTCCCATCCTATTTTGAAAAATAAAAATCAAGGCAAAGAGGAACAAAGAGTTCATACAGTGAGTAGAGGAATTTGAAGCTGGATACTTAGACAAACAAGATACTTCAAGCATAAATGCATATTTTTGTAGAACTAGTGCAGCCAAATCATGTAAATTTTAATGAACTTGAAGGACCAGCAAGTTTATTTAGACTATTATCTGAGTAATACCTTTGATTATTTGTAACTGTGATTAGTGCAGTGTATAAAGCATGGTACTGAACAATGACAGGTGCACTTTTCTGAGGGACAATTCCCCCTATGCCACAGCTATAGAAACTGTAAGTTTACTGAAAAAGGCAAGAAATTCTGTCCTTGGTATTATGAAATTCTTAAAAGTCTCTCTATTTTATTCCATTGACAGTTTATTGCTATTTGAAAGCACAGCTTGTATTCTTGACTTTTAGATGATTGATATTAAATATAGCTCCTCTTTTCTTATTCTTCATTTGTCCCTGGATGGTGGAACTGAAAAGTTTTATATACTAACAGAGCACGTGTTTTGCCATCAAGAAGTTATTTAAAAAAAGGTGTAAAAATTTTTTAAAAAGAGTAATGATTGGATTCAATGTAAATTAAAACCTCCAAAGATGAAAAACAGTAGGAATAACTGCTTAAATGGATTACTAAATGAAACAAAAGGCAGAACTTTTCAAGGGTACAGTGAATGTATAGATGAGGGGTAGGTGACTAAGTGTCAGCCATGAGGATGACTTCTTTGTCCTCATCCTCCTCCTCCCCTTCCTCGCTTCCTTCTCCCTCCCTCCCTCCCTCCCTCCCTCCCTCCCTCCCTTCCTTCCTTCCTTCCTTCCTTCCTTCCTTCCTTCCTTCCTTCCTTCCTTCCTCATGGTCTACTGAACATATGGAAACTTTTGTAGAATGAAGCAGGTTATAAATAAATAATATAAGTAAAGTCTTCATCACTTAAATATGTCAAGTCTTGAGAGATTTTACCTGTACCTTGGTGATATCTTTGAAACATAATCACATTTATTCTCAGATATGCTTCTGGTGGATAATTACAATGCTTTTCTTCCTCCTCTTAAAATCTCAACACAACGCTGAGATTAGACATCAACCTTCTTCTTTAACTGTTTAAGTTCCATGATTTGATATTAGTTTTTATATCTTACTCAAAGTCTAATAATCCTCCATTGTGATCTGTGTATCATCCTTGTTTCTAAGTGGCAAGGGTTATAAAGAAAAATGCAACTGATTAGGATGTGTTTCAGTTATTTTTCAGCTATGACTCTAATTTTGTAAAAATGGAGCCAAGTTTTGTATTCTTCTGATCAGATTATAAATTATGTGTGATACATATGAAAAGTCATCAGATCAATATACAAAGCAAACAAACAAACAAAAACCAAAAAACCAAAAACTCAATGTTTAGATTTCCCTATCATACCCTGATATGCTAACTCTGACCTGAGGTGCTTGTCAAGAAGTGAAGTAAGTGGAAGTGGAGTTCATATGCCACATTATAGGAGATTGAATATTATAATCCTAAAATAGATACTAGTTATTTTATACTCAATACCTATGATGATTTCTTGGTCATTGTCACCTGGTGGTTGAGTATAATCTTGTTTTAGTTCCATTACCATTACTTTAAATCAAACCATCACTCTCTTTCTTCTAGCCTTCCTTAATTGCTTCCAATTGGCCCCTCTTCAACCCACTGTCTCTCTATCAGCTAGAGAAATCCTTGGAAAATGTAAAAAGCATGCCTTCTTTAAGACCTTCAACAGCTTCTCATTGTAGTGACATAAAATCCAGCTCCTTGCCTGGTCTGGGAGACCTGCATGATCTCACCTTTCTCTTCTGATCTCATCTCATTCTCTCCCCTCAATGACTGTACTTCAGTAACACTGGCTTTCTTTCAGGTTCTGATTGTGCCAAGCTCTTTCCAAATTTAGGACTTTACACATGCTTTTCCCTCTTCTAGTGTGCTTTCCTATCCACGCCCTATTCCCATGACTAGCATCTTATTTTCCTACAAAGTTCTTGGGCTTAAATGTCATCTCTGCAGAGAGACCTTCTGTGAGCAACTTACCAAAAATGCTCCATTTCTATTAGAACTCATGTTTATTTTCTTAAGTGCTTTTTAAAAGAAGTTAACATAATTTGAACAATTTATTTTTCTTCCAGTATGGAAGAACTAATATTTCTTGTCTCTGCCCCAATCTGCTTCCTAGCTCCAGAAAAATAAAAAAATTAGAGCAGGTATTTGACAATTTTTGTAAATTTAGTTGACTTGAAAACCAAGTTTTGGAGAAGGAGAGAATTATTTAAAATCCTTTAGTTCTTTATTAGTGTATTAAGTACCAGGTGTGAATGACAACTGTATATAAGAACAGTCTAATAAAAAAGAGAAATCAATAGAAACCTCACTACTTACAAGCTCTGTGGAAATGTAGAAAGAAGAGAACTTCATAGATAGCCTTGGGAGGGTGAAGGTATTGGGTAAATAGGTTCTCAGTCCTCTTCAGGCTTCAGACAAATCAGGTGAGCAACCCCAAAGGCATAGAGCAACTGCCCACTGCCTTCCAGTTTGGAAGGAGCCTAAGAAGTCACTAAGCAGGGGACCCCCTACTTTTTCAGGGGGAGACCTACCATTATTAAGAAGGTAGAATGTTATGTCCAGATGGAAACAGTCTAACTTGCACTTCTAAATTTCCTTTTTCCCCTATGTCCTGTTAAGATTTTGTTGACAGTTAGAGGTTCTTCCAAGAAGCACTCCATGGGCATGTGTCAGATACAGGCATAGATTTCCCTAGTCTTGTCAAAGGACACAAGAGGGTCACAGAGGCCTCCACCTAGAGAGGCAAGGGAGGAAGTGTTCAGTGGGAATGGGCAGGTAAAAATTTTATGATGTTGGTAGCAAATACCTACAGAATGAACCAGCTCAGTTGCTGTATCAACTTCTAGATCAACCTGTGAGATTACTAAAGAGCTGGAAAGAACAGTAGAGTTCAAAGAATCCTTAACTGTGTCACTAAACATCACATAAGCTTCTTACCTGGTGTATATCCTGATGCCATTTTGGAAAAGAGGGGAGAGGGGACAGGATTAGACTGGAAATATGAAAGACTGAATTAGTATCCATTACCTTAAAAGATTGTTTAAAATAGTGAATTAGACTAAGTTATAAACTGCTTTATACTAAATGAAGTTAACTATCTTCTGCTTGATGGAGACTCTGAGAAAGATCTAATTTGTTACAGACAATACAAAAGAGTTATCCTTTTTTCCTGCTTATATGAGTAATGGCATGATAAATTTTGTCACTCACTGTCTTTTATTGTACATGTCACCTACAAGAACAGGAGTCCCATGGCTGCTTCCCTAGCTCCTGATGCAGTACTGGGGTAAAATAAGTATCGAACAAATGTTTGCTGAGTGAATAGAAGCATATTACTAGTTTAGAGTGTTACACAGACATTTCATAGACAACCATTAAGGAAAAGATAATATTTAATCAACTAGTTATGAATATCTGGGGAACTAAGTCTCTCGTGTAATAAAGAATAAAATCTCTGAAATCTATTCTGGTTTCCACCTTTGGTTCTGCCACTAAGTGATATGTGTGGACTGGAGAAGAGCTTAGATTTTGTTTTAAATATCAATGTTCACAGATGATGTCTTTTAAACCTCAACTTCTTCAGTAATTTTTAAAGCTGTTAATTTCATGATATGTAGTAGATATTTCCAACATCTTTCCATCTATTTGTTTGGATTAATAACTATTAAGATAATGTCAGTTTATTTTAAAGAAAGGTGTTATCTATTAAAGGTAGTATTGCAAGCATCTCATAAATATGAATCCAAAGTTTTTGGTTGTTCGCTTAAATAAGTTATGAAAACCTGGAAATAACTCAAAGTTTTTCACTTCTAAAATGATCTTACCTGGGTTACCAATAATGATGTCCAATCATCATTTATTTTTCTGTATTTATCCACATATTCAGGTGGAATTTAATGACCCAATGCTGGGCTCAAGAACCCGAGGAAAGGCCTACTTTCCAGAAAATTCAAGACCAGCTTCAGTTATTCAGAAATTTTTCCTTAAGTAGTATTTCTCAGTGCAGAGATGAGGCAAACTCCAGTGGAGTCCTAAATGAAGGCTTTGAAGGTAAGTTTGATTTTTCAAGCATTTTCTAGTTTTTTTTCCCAATGAGAACTGATCAAGATTAAATGGAATGTACTCAGAAGATATTTTAGGGTAGGTAAGAAATAATATACTGTCACCATTGTCATCACAATTAAGTGATGAGGATGAAATAATTTTCCTCCTTAAAAATTATTTTGTTTTGTAGACTAATTTTTTTTAAATAGTGCTATGGTCCCTGGATTTATATTGTAAGATAATTTTAGGGAAAGAATTAACATGCTAAGCTATGCTTTCATGAGATCTGTTCACCTCCTCCTCCCTGCCTTAGACTAGTTTGGACCTCAAGTGCAGAGTTGGGTTAATTATAGTCTCTCCATTTATGGCACATTATTATCACTGGCCTATGTGGGGCTTCTCTCTTATTTTGTTTATTTGTTCAGTCCCTTTGTCCCCATATTCCTCTCCTGTTCTATTTCCTCCCTTCCCCGGCCAGGCAACCATTCTAATTACTTTAATGAATATCTTTTTATTTGTATGTTTTCCTGCAAAATGTGTATTGTTTGGTATGTGTGCCTGTGAGGGACTAAGAAAGATGGCGGGCTTGTAGAGAGAAGGCAGAAAGGGAAGAGGAAAGCCACAGGGGAGCATTGTCATGGAAACCCAAAGGAGAAGGACTCTTGAAGAAAGATTAAACAAATGCTGCACAGACAGTCAGCTTTCCAGAGGGATGTATGGATTTTTACAGTTGACTTACATTTCATTTTAAAACTCAACTCTTTGGTCACGGAATCCTTTCCTTCCAGTATGTAAACCACCTTTTATAAAAATCACAGAGACCACCGCAATGGGCCTGAGGGTTTATCAGTATCTTAGACTCTATCAGAAATTTCCATAGACTCTTGGAGGTCTGGGGTGAAATCTTTTTACCATGCCCTGTCACTTAGTTGATCTATGAAGCTGAGAAAGGTAACAAATGATATACTGAAGATACAGAACAAAATCTGTTTTGTGAAAGTATTTTAATTGCAATCTTAGTTAATTTTATTTTAGCACTTTTTAATGTTCCACTCACTATGCTATGTAGATTCACTTCTTAAATACTCCAATAGCTGTATGAAATATTATAATCAGTCTCATTTTCATGGTGAAAATGAGATTTAGCAACTTTCCCATGATTACACTGCTGAGATGGGGCCAGAGTTTGGTTCCATTTTTGCGCCTTTGCTCTCAGCCATCACATAGCCATGGCTGTGGTAAGGAAATTGCCCACATATTCCCCTATGATGTTATCAATAGTGTGCTGCACAGCGAGATGTAATGAAATGACTTCTTACCCCAGGGCCTGTTGGAAGAGATACACCATTTTGTCCTGGTCATACCAAGTTTATTTAGGTGCCCATCTGTTGGCAGTAAGAATTAAAATTCTAGGGCTGGGATTGTGGCTCAGTGGTAGAGCACCTGCCTGGCATGTGTGAGGCATTGGGTTCTATCCTCAGCACCACATAAAAATAAATTAATTAAGTAAATAAAGGTATTGTGTCCATCTACAACTAAAACATTAAAAAAAGAATTAAAATTCTAAATTTTATTCATAAAAATACAGAAGCTGACATAAATATTCAGAATAATGATATAGGAAGAGTTTAACAGGGAATATAATTCAGCTATGATAACTTAGAAAGAAACGAGCAGTTCTGGGCCATAAGGGAAGTATAAATTTAGTAAAAGTGACAATCATTCTGTTATTTGCAATGGATATAAATCCTGAAAATCAATAAAGAAAAGAGGTATGAAAATACTAAAAATTTGATAGTTGAGAGCATGATGGAACAAGAAAATCAGGGAAGACAAAGAAAATACAATGAAAGAGTTTGCAATCTTTTAAGGATAGGAATAGTGGAACAGTTCCTGCAAGGTGAGTCTAAACTTAATTGCTTTTTTAAAAAATAAAAATATGTTAGTAACGCTGCTTTGTTGACAGTTGAATATATTTAACAAAGCAATAAGGTGTCTGTTTTCATTGTTATTGTGGAAATATGTAAGAAGATAAGAAAGCCATTGGAAGGTGTTTTTTTTTTTTTTTTTTTTTTTAATAAAACACCCTAGGATTACAGGAAGCCATGCCCATCCTATGGTCCTACTGACCTAATGGGGTAGAGAGGGGATAGAGAGAGAAGATTAGTAACATATCTGGGCATCTAGTAAAAATATCCCAGTGACTTCATCCAAACATTTGTGTAAACATCACCTCATCAGTCCCAGAGAGTTCCACAGGAAACAAATCTAAATGCTCCTCTGCTGTTCTAAACATAGCCAGTCAGCCGGCATATGTCTCGTCTGTAAATACCCTGTCTTACTCGGAAGGCTTTATTTTAATATTTCCCTCTTAAAGAGGTTACTGAGCACACGTTGCATTTTTCAGGGTATCTGCCTTTAGGTCTGACCTGTGGGCTATTAAATAATTTCTACGTAAAAATAAACAAAACAATCTGCTCCCATTACCACTGTCTCTCAGAAGCTTTTTATGCAACAAGAAGATGTATTAATTGCTGAAAGCTTGCCAGGGTCAAGTTACTAAATATTGCTGTAAGTGCTAGGAACCAATGAAGTAGTTAGCTAATCTTTTTTTTTTCCTCTGAAATGGCAGCAAAATTTGCCAAAAAAAATATTTATCTCATATAAAACATTATTTCTCAAAACCTCAACAAGCAAAAAAAAATTAAAATCATGTTTTGGTTTAAGTTTTCCAATGTAATATTTAGTGGTTTAAAGGTATGACATTGATGTAGCTGGTGGGAAGACCTATATTATAGATGTAAGTATTTGTTGAAATTCTAAACTTTCCTTTAGCCTAATTTCTTTAAGCCCTTTTAAAAAAATCCTAATTTTCCTAATCATGGGTCACTGAACTACTCAAATATCTTATTTCTTCCTAACATTTTAAAATATTTTCTATTGCTACCAGCACACCTAGCAAGTTATTCTTGCGAGTTTCTCAATGACTACTAGTCCATGTTGGGAATAACCATAGCAGCTGGGTCCTTCCACAGGTTTCCAGCATGGATTGGCATCTGATAAAATTTTTCTATGGGGGAGATATTTTACAACACTGTTCGACTACTTATGGGGTTTGAAATGATTTTTCAAATGATTCATGTGATCCATGATGATTTTGAACAAAATGAGATGATGCCCAAGGACCCCATTTGTAGCTTGGCCATCTTGTTCTTCAGCAACAGGGGAGATTTGCAAAAGAAATACACACCTCATGATATAGAGTGGGGATATAATTTGTATCCTCTTATAATACAATCAGTTTTGTAGTTTATTTGGAGCATGATAAATAGGTAGATCCATTGAATTCCCTAAACAGGTACAATATCCCTTAATCCTTTGAAATCATTTCATTTTTTTCTTTTATATCAACTTAAGTTCATTCCAAATAACCCAAACCTGGGTGCACATCGGGGCTATGTGCACAAGGTAGGCAGACCAGCAGGCCTCACCCAATAAGGGCACATGTTGGAATGCCCTTCCTGCTCAAAGGGTGATGAGGAGAAAGGGAAGGGCTATCATCTGTCTACTGAAACGTTTCTGATTTTTAAAACGATACTTTATGAAAAGACAGCAATGCTTCTGATTATAAATTTCTTATCCAGGTAGGAATACCCAGAGAGTGGAAAGCACTGCATAAACAAGAAAGCAAGCAAGCAAGCAAGCAAGCAAACAAACAAACAAACAAAAAAACAAGCAGTTCTCAGAGTTAATGTTTCTATATTGATGTTTATATTGCATAAGTATCATTTTGATTCCTTATAATTTTGTGATATGTCTCAGAATCTCTGTAGTTAGGTTTCTATGGGACCTCTTACTTCCTTATGAGAGGAGGTCACCTTTAACCCATTTTGTCCCATAGTCTCATCTGGGGCATGCCTACGAAAATGTAAATAGGCAATAAGTATACTACTGTGGTAATTCTGAAACAATAATTGAGTATTTATTATGTTCACAGAATTGAAAATGTATGACATAAGTAGACAAAAGCAAAGTAATATGAGCATAATTGTGAAGAAGGCCAGTCACCTTCTCACTGCCCATTTTCCTGCTGACAGCCACTCCTCCTCGCCCTTGGGTGTCCAGTCTCTGTGCTTCCCAAGGACTTCTGCAGGGCACACTGCCCACATGGCTCCTCCTCACACAGCATGGCAACTCTACCCACCCTGCTGGGAGGACACAGACTCATTCCAGCAGAGTGAACTTTGGCAAATTATTTAACTCCTCTATGCCTCATTTTCCTCATCTGTTCATTGGGGTCAATTCTAGAACCTAATTAATAGGAGAAGAATTAGTTAACATACATTAATATAGTTAGAATAGAGTCTTGTATGTAGTAAGTGCTCTAAAAGAGCTCACAGAATCAGTAGTAATCCTAACAGTTACTAATGTTTCACGTCATTGTCCTTCTCCCTCTACCCTGTGATCAAAATTTGCTAGGTTTATATATGTTCTCTTTTAGGGTCATAAGCATGCCAGTTTTACATGCCAATTAGCGTTAATAGTTTCATATGATATTTAACCCAGGGGGATGACTGAGGAGGACAAGCCACTTTAGCTGCCTGGCTGTTCTTCAATCCATACCAGCCTGTTCCTGCCTTTGGACCCTTGTTCTTGCCTTTCTCTCTCCTTGGATGATCCTTTAAGATAGGCAAATGGTGAATTCCCGTACTTAATTTGTGTCTCGGCTAGAATTTCACTTCATGAAAGAGCACTTTGCTGATGCCCCATCTCAAATAGCAGCCTCTTTCCACCACCATAATTCTCTTGCCCCCTACTCTGCCAAATTGTCCTCCATCATGCTTCTCGACACCTGACATAGAATCAGCTGTCTGGCAGTTCACTGTCTGCCTCTCCCCATTAAAATGTAAGCACCAAAGAGCAGCAACTTTGTATCATCAGTACCTAGAATATAGCCTGACCTGTATAGGCATTCAGTGCATATTATCTTAAGAAGTAATTAAATTGCTAAATCTAAAGGAATAAAGCTTTTAAGGTAGTTTTTTGGCTGCTATGGCTGGATGGAGGATAAGTATTTTAGACAAAGAGCTATCTGGGAGCCACCTAATTTCTGGCACAAAGACCATGACCTGTTCCATTTGTTAAGGCAGAGTTAATTGCCTCTGCACCCTCACTGTATTTAATATAGACTTTTATTTAATTGCACATGACCTTCTATAGTAATATAGCTGCTTCCTTACTAGACTGGTGCAACCTCAAGGGCCAGAAGAATGTCTTGTTTATGTTTGTCTTCCCAGCACTTAATGGTCCTCATAAATGTTTGCTAAACAGATCTATAAAGTTGGTGTTGTCAAAATTCTCGTACAACCTGTGCATTATTACAAATAAAGGAAATTGAGTAGGTGCTAGCATAACGTTCTTGCTTCTTCACAGGTGAAGATGGCAATATAACTAGTTTGAATTCAGATGACGTTATGCCAGCTGCTTTAATGGAAACCAAGAACCAAGAAGGGTTAAACTATATGGTCCTTGCCACAGAATGCAGTCAAGGTGCAAAAAATTCAGAGGGTCCTCTCTGCCCCAAGGAATCTGAATCTTGTGGTCTGAGGAAAGAAGAGAAGGAACCACATGCAGACAAAGATTTCTGCCAAGAAAAACAAGTGGCTTACTGCCCTCCTGGCAAGCTCGAAGGCTTGAACTATGCCTGTCTCGCTCACAGTGGATATGGAGATGGGTCTGATTAATTGTGCTGCCTGGGAAATCAGAGTTGAGAGAAACACACCCACTGAGTGGTTACAGAAAGAAAAGAATGGTAGATGTGGTGGTGGGCTGACTCTAATTTAATACTGAAAGTTCCTTAGTTCTAGTCTGGGTTCTGAGAGCCTTTTGGTTTCATTTGCTGCAATCCCTATACCAACAGCCTAACCTTCAGTGGAATTATGGGGTGAATAACCATGTGTGTGGAAAGCCCAGGAAGAGACATTAAGTCTGGAAACAAAACACTGCTGTCCTCTCCCATGCAGTCCTTGAAGATATCACCTACCCTTCAGCCTGGGCTGCAGTTAAAAATTTTGAGACAGAAATAGGTCAGTTCAGGGACGTGAAGGAAGAAGCACACTGAGGGGCCCACTCAGTTACAGATTGTCTCAAAGAGAACTGAGGAAATTATTACTGATGTCTACACATACAGGAGGAGCCAGCACTGGTGATATAAGAATCATTTGGAAAGCTATCACTCCAATAAACTATCTTTAATCATGACTATAAAATTTTTGTATTTTGGAAGCTTAAAAGAGTAGCTTCAGACATATTGAAAACAGGACCATGAAGATCTTTGAGTCTTAAAGTTGAGCATTCTGCAATCTCTGGATTGCATAAAAATTGTCCTGTGACTAGTGTGCTATTATGAAAATTAACTAATATAAAGATTGTTTGGAGGGCTGGGAGTATGGCTCAGTAGTAGAGAACTTGCCTAGCATGTGTAGTTCTGGGTTTCATCCCCAGCACTGCAAAAACCCAAAACAAGTCAGAACAAAAATATAACAATAACAAAAGAAAAAGAAAGAAAAAAATTGTTTTTATTTGCCATGTCTATTTTTATGCATAAAATCCTTAAGGTTGTGTCTAGTATCATCCTTGAAATTAAGAAATGTGATTATATAATGTTAATTCAAACTACATGATTTTTAACAATGGTATAAAATAATAAATTCTTACATGAGAACTATTTTAAAAATTCTTCAGAGAAATACTCTTCCTTGAAACTGATATTTTTTTTTTGGAATTACCTGTTTAAATCTCAAAATACCAATTGCATCAACAATACCACTAACTATTTTCTGTGTTATTCAGTGGCTGTATACGGGATGTATACAGTAAAAACATTCTGATTATGACATTTGCTAAAAACTACTGTAGAAGAGGACCATGTGTCTGCTTTCACCTTGGATAATTAATCTTTTAATTTGCCTGCCACCTGAGAACATGAAGAGATGGTGGGCTGAATGTGAGCACAGGGAAGTGAATTCAGAATTCCAGGGGAACAACCTCTAAGTTAAGGCCCAGGATTTACTGTTACTTGCAACATCTGATACTCCTCTGATAATGGCAGGATGTTTTCTTTCAGCTCTGGGGATCCTCTGATGGGCATCTGTCATTCTTTGGGCTAGCCTAGAAAATGAAGTCCCTTCTTTCATCAAGGAATTGCTTCATCTTTACTGTTCTGGTGGGAGCTGTGTTCTATTTGCTCTCGTGGCACCTCTTTCAGGAAGAAGGCAGGCATGTGCACTGGTCCTTATGCCCAGACCCCACCACTCAGGCTTCTCATTGAGAGTTAAGCCTGTAAAGAAACAAGAACCAGAACAAGTATTTCCAGCAATGTTAGCAAGTGCAGTTGGTCTGACTCCTGGCACAGAGGTGGCAGTGCTGTGGGAGGTGGCCTCCAGTGTCCATGGCAGCAGAGTCAGCAGAGTGACTCTACTCTGGCAGCTTGTATCCAGGCTGTACTGGACTCTTTCTGCTGTCTACTCTTTGCCGTTGCTCCTTGCTTCATTGCCTTTAAGCCTGGTTCTGAAGCCTGCCCAAGACTCAGCAAGTTACCCCATTTTTATCCCTTATTTAAGTGCATCTCACCTTCTATAGATAAAGGTTATATTCTAGTATGCTGTTTAGGGGAGTAGACTTTACAACAAACAAATATCCTTATGAGCAAACTCAGCATTCAGTAGTGTTGTGGAGTTCTAGACGTTTAAACTTTCAGTCAAGGGAGATCTGTTGAAAAACCTGGGATCCTGAAAAACAGAATGGGGGTATGAGGTTGGATGTCTGCATTCAGCAGGTTTTTGTTGCTGTGACCAAAATACCCTAACAGAGCAACTTAGAGGAGGCAAATTTCATTTGGGATCATGGTTTCAGAAGTCTCAGTCCAGGTTCTGCTGACTCCATTGTTCTGGGTCCAAGATGAGGCAGAACATTGTGGTGGGAGGGTGTGGTGAAGGAAAGCTGCTCTGCTCATGGTGGCTAGGAAGCAGAAAGAGTAGAGAAAGAGCTGTAGGTAAGATGAACCCTTCCAGGGTATGCCTACAGAGATTCACTTCCTCCTGCCATTTCTTCCTTGCCTATAGTTTCCATCCAATTAGTCTATTCAAACTAAGATGGACCAATAACCATGGCTCTTATAATCTGATCATTTCATCTTGGATATTCCTGCATTAACATGGGAACTTTGGGAGAATACCTAATATCCAAACTATAACAATGTTCCAAGAATTTTGACTCAGTAGACCCTTCTGATCCCTCAGAGCATGTACAATAAGAGCTAGCACTTTGTAGAGGAAGTAACCAGAGAGGCCTCTTCTGAAACAGAAATTACATGTTGCACCCCTCTCCCCTTCTGACTGCCAGGTCAATATCTAGAATTAAATTCCAGCATATCTTAAGGATTTTCTGAGTCTGATAAAGAAGGAAAGAGTTAATATCCCAAAGTAGCTCCAAGCATTAGCTAAAATGCACTGGCAGAAGCCAGGTACAATTGAAATTACATTCTGAAGGTGCCTGAACTATGGGATGAGAAGGTAAGGTTAAAAAAGCAAGAATTCATTCAACTGAGTGAGACTTTTCTGGAATGTGAGATTTAACCTACGTGAAAAAGACCCATGGAGTCGAAGTAAATTTGTTTTTAGAGTGGCCTTGGATGTCTGGTGACAATGAATTTGATTCCATTCCCCCCTAAGAAGTTATAGGAAGGAATAAAATGGTTGAGGGAATGTGGGAATGCTGATATGGACATGTTATGTGAGGCCAGAAGACCCCCTCCCCTATTCACCAAAGTCATAAGGACTATGTTGATGTGAGGGCATCTCTAAGCATCACTAAGAAGTTAGCAATGGTTACTTGCCATAGCTGGTCCCAGAGCTGGGCTTATAAACACTCATGGGCATGATGAAAGATTGAAATAATGGAGACAAGATAGCTTCAGTTGACTACCAGAAGCCAGGGGACCTCCTATTATGGGAGGCATCCAAAAGCCCTTGTCCATAAAGAGTTGTGAAGATGGTTAATAAAGCCCTTTGTTCCTAGGGAAGAATAAATGGGAAGCCAGTCTTGAGCATCCATGGTTAGTAGAAGGCTATTAGAGTTCTCTAGAGAAACAGAACCAAAACTTGGGTGGATAGATAGATAGGTAGCTATGTTAGATAGATGATAGAAGATATGAAATTCTTTAGGGGAACTGGCTCCCCAAATTATGGATTATGTGAAGATCCAGGTGTAAGCTGAAGAACTAAGGAAACTGGTAGCATGGTTCAGTTCAAGTCCCAAATCCTCAGACCCAGAAGAGCCAATGATGTAACTAATTCCAAGGCCAAATGCTTGGGAAATTGGTGAGGTGAGGATAGGGGGTTTGATGTTATAAGACCCAGAGTCTAAAGACTAGACGGATGGATGGATAGATAGATAGATAGATAGATAGATAGATAGATAGATAGGTAGATGATAGATAGATGAGAGAGAGAGAGAGAGAGAGAGAGAGAGAGAGAGAGAGAGAGAGAGAGACATGGAGGGAGACAGGAACTCTCCTACCTTTCTTCTTTCTTTTTGCTCTATCTGAGCTCTTAGTTGACTGGATGATGGCTACCACACTGAGTGAGGGCAGATCTTCCTTACTCTGTCCACTAATTCAAAGACAAATCTCTTTCAGAAACACCTTTGCCGACATACCCAATAATGCTTTACCATCTGGTTTCTCTTGAGTCAAGTTGCCACCTAAAATTAGCCATCCAAAGGAAAAAATGGAGGGGCAGGGGGCTCACACACTCATTCAAAGAAAAATCATGATCCTTATTCAATTCCTAGATTTGAGCTTGTTTTCAGAGCGACAACCCATTAACTATAGAACAGGTTCTAGGTTGAAGGACATTGTAATGCCATTGCAGATGTAGTGTAATGAGGATTCTGAGACACTTCAGACTGTTGGATACAGGATCTGAGCGGACACTGGGAGTCAGAGACCTATAGCATCATCATCACCCCTCTCTCAGAGGGGCTTGTGGGGCTAAAGTCTAACTTACAATGCATCCACTGGGTCCACAGCCCCACCCAGTGGTCATTTCTCTGCTCCTTAAATGTATAATTGGGATCTCCATACTTTATGGTTGCAGTAGCCCTCTCACCAGGTTCTTGGCCTGTGGGTAAGGTCAAAAGATACCACAGTGGAAGGTCAAGTGAAGCTCTGAAACCGCCTCTCTCCTTTCCCTACCTCAGCCCAAATAATAAAGAAAAATCAACATCAAGTTCCTGAAGAAACTAGAAGAATGCTGGAGAATGACTGAAAAGTGACAAGTTAAACCTAATATTAGCCCCAACGACAGTTGCTAGGTCAGTCTAGAATATATATGTTGCTAGAACATATGAGTGTATGATACACGTCTCAGCGTCTTCTTAAAGGATCCACACTATTGATGAAATAAATTCTACTGAGAAAAGAATTTCAGGTTTTGCTACAGGGACCCAAATGGCCAAGACAAATGTGTAAATAGAAACCAAATTAGAGTGGAAACAAGAGAAAATAAAAATGTACTTGAAAAGAGCTAGGTGATGACTCATTTAAGGTGTTTTGCCATTTGAAGAGAATAAGGGGTTGGGAGGTACCTTGGTGTAGAGTGCTTGCCTAGCATTCACAGGTTCCATCCCCAGCACTGAAAAAAAGGATGTATGTGGGTGAGAGGGAACAAGGATGTGCGGTCCAAGGAGGATTTTTTTGGCCTTGTTTTTGCTGTTTTATTCTCAAATATTACAGTCTCTTTTCTCTTAATGGGAATGATCCAATGGGGAGGAAAAAACAATTATGCAAAAAGAAGAAAAGGTAACTGTTGAAGTGATGTCCTTGAGCAGAACACAGAGATTGACACTCAGGATGCAAGCATGGGAAAAGGATATTTGACACTAATTGGCTCCTACTAAATGTGACAGAATCTCTCTCCACTCATTTTAATACTAGGATTTTCTTTATTGAGCAGGTTTCCAGAAGACTTTCTTTTTTTAACTTGTACTTTAAACCTTAGATCAACACATATTTTTAAATTTATTTGTATATAACTGAATAAAATATTTTAATGCACTAGTTTGTGTTTTCACAATAATTGGTGGTACCTGCTCATGGTGGCTAACACTAAGTGCGGGATAAAAAAAATCTTATGTCAATGAGTGAAGAAAAAAAACTTTAGGACTATTGCAGCCTGTGAAGTCCTGAATTACAGAGGTTGGCTTTATACAAGTGTCAAGCAGCATTAGGTATAAGTGCTGAGAGTTCTCATACAGGTGAGATCATTTACTGTGATCTGGTATAGAGACAAAGCTTCAGAGAAATGGCAGAACTTAAGCTAGACCTGGTAATATCTAGATAGTGTAACATTGGGCTAGATCTTATCTGATGGTAAGTTTATATCCTCTTGAAAACTGAGAAGACAGCTCTTACATCTTTTAGAGCATTGATACAGACATAAAGGCCAAGAAGCAGATCATGCAAACCATTTTCTTTTCTTTATAAGAAAAGCATTTTCTTTTTCTTATAAGAAGAATAAAGGGTGTGAACTGAGTTCAAGTTAGAAATCTCTCTGATGAATGAGGTGACACAAATTAAATATGCACCCCAAAATAACACTAAAAATGTATTCAGAGCTTTATGACCTGAAAAAACATACACTGTTAAACTGTATAGCTTTTTAAATAGTCAATGTCTTGCGTTT